TGTGAAATTGCTAAGGTCTCTTCACATTTGTTTTATTGCATCACAACGGGTAATTGGATCGGCTTTAAAAAAGGTTTTATTTGAATTAGATATAGTGTCTCTAGAGCGTCTATCATTAAATCACAGTGGTGACGTTCAGTTGGTAACGGGTGCTACGCCATTTCACAGCTTGTGTGAGTTTATCTTATGGGCGAAATCGGTGGAGCGTGAGACAGAAAACGTTTTTGTTCATATTGGAGAAGTTAGTAGGATTGTTAATTTGGACGATGGACGCATTTGGATTTATGGAGAAGGGAATATTGCAACTGTATTTGTTCCCATCCCGAATCCCTTTGCTCTCAACGCAATTATAAGAAGTTGTGAAGAGGCTTTTCGTATTGCCTTTATTGTTTTGCGTGGATTTTCTGCGTACCAGGATTCTTTTGGTGTATATGAAGCTTTTTTTGCAGAGTATTTACATTATCGGTATCTGATTCATCCTGAGAAAAACATATATCTTCGAGATCTTGTCCATGTTATACGGTTTACGTTGGTTTCTTACGCCTCAAGTTCAGGGGTTTCACCGGATGCTTTTTCACAGATGAACTGCTTTGACGTGAGTAAAAATACAACGGGAGCCTCTTTTTTTGGCTTTTCTCGTTGTAAAATTGAGCCAGAGGGGAGAGACACGGGAAACCACATCAATTATGCTGCCCAATTGGAACAATGGGGGCGTGAACCACTTTGGAGGTTTGCGGAATTAATATGGACTGCAATCCATAATGCGTCATTGTTGTTTTCTGTAAAAGAGTCGATGTAAAATGTGAAGGTGTCAAATTGTTTTTTTTTACACCTTTAACCTTTTTTCAGGGGAAAAGGAGAAATAATAATAATAATAATAATAGAGAAGGAAATAATTTAAAAAATCATCAAGAAGAAAATAAGAAAATTTTGTTTTGAGTGAATACGCTTTTTTTATTTCTTATCTTTTATCTTTTTTTCCCTTTTTTTTCTATTTGGATTTCTCTATTATTATTATTATTATTATTATTATTATTGTATACATTAAGGATATGAGGGAGCGAGGCAAGAATGAGTGGGGGGAAATGGTCCTTCCGGGCGTTTACATGCTTAGAGGCTCCACTAACTCTAGTCGAGGAAGAACATTCGACCTTGATGCAAGTAAGCTCCAGCTTGAACTGATTCTTAATGAAATAGAGGTTATGGAAAGACACGTGAAAAAATTGAAGGAGAGCAACAGCGAGATCAAAGAATATTTAAAGAATCGTGGTGATTCGATAATGGAGAGCACGAATACATTTTCAACTTCTGGTGCTGTAGCTGCAGTAAGTGATACAGAGGACATCAACGACGTTTTGGCGGAGGCCCTTGTAGAAAATGAGACAATTATTTCTCTTAAGGAAATGGAATTGAATGAATTGAAGCAGCTTATACAAAACAATCGTTGTGCCTGTAGCTACCAATCAATTGAGGAGAATAATGAGGGTCATTCAGTTCCTGATGACACCAGCAGAAATAATGTGGCAACTGAAGTGGAAGGGGTCATAGATGAAATGTCGAATACCCACTTTTCACTTTGAATTATTATCAGTATTACCTCAGTTTTTCCTTCTTAATTACTATTAGGCATCATTAAAAAAATAAGTAAAATAAATAATAATAATAATAATAATAATAATAATAATAATAATAATAATAATAATAATAATAATAATAATAATAATAATAATAATAATAATAATAATAATAATAATAATAATAATAATAATAATAATAATAATAATAATAATAATAATAATAATAATAATAATAATAATAATAATAATAATAATAATAATAATAATAATAATAATAATAATAATAATAATAATAATAATAATAATAATAATAATAATAATAATAATAATAATAATAATAATAATAATAGAAATATGGGACCAAGATGAAATAATCTTATATGTCTACTTTTATATTTTTTGTCGTTTATCACCTTATAGTAGAAAACAAAGGAAAATTTTTGTTTTAAAAGAATACCATGCCTCCCAAGAAGAAGGATGAGAAGTCACAACCGCCCCGCACGATTTTGCTGGGCCGACCTGGAAGTAACTTGAAGGTTGGAATTGTTGGGCTTCCTAATGTTGGAAAGTCCACATTTTTCAATGTTCTATCTAAAAAAGGTGTTCCCGCTGAAAATCGGCCATTTTGCACCATTGATCCCAACACCGCGGATATTAACATTCCTGACGATCGATTTGAAAAATTGGTGAAAATCAATAAACCTGCATCTATTGTACCTGCACAAATTCACATTCGGGATATTGCAGGGCTGGTGCGTGGAGCCAGCAACGGTGAAGGGCTTGGCAATGCTTTCTTATCTCACATTAATGAATGTGATGGAATTATCCACATGATTCGTGTCTTTGAGGAAGTTGAGGTTACACACGTGGAAGGTGATTTGGATCCTATCCGTGACCTAGAGATTATTTTCTCAGAGTTGATTATGAAGGACTTACAAGTGGTCAATGGGCTAATTGACAAGATAACACCCATAGTTAATCGGGGGATCGACAAAAGCAAGAAATTTGATTTAGAGGTTCTTATGAAACTGAAAGAACACCTAGAAAATGGTGAACAGATTCGGTGTTGCCAATGGAACGGTAAGGAAATTGATTTTCTCAACACACTACAGCTTTTAACAGCGAAACCAGCTATTTTTTTGGCCAACATGTCAGAAAAGGACTTTATTCGACAAAGGGGCAAATGGCTTGTTAAGCTCAAAGAGTGGATAGATCAGCACACTGGCGAACCACTTATCCCAGTTTCAGCAGAGATGGAAGCCAATTTTCTCAATATGTCTCCAGAGGAAGCAGAGGAATACTGTACAGCGAATAAAACAAAGTCCCAGGTGCACAAGATTGTTACCACCGCTTATCATGCTATTAATTTGATTCACTACTTTACTGCGGGATCGGACGAGGTGAAGTGCTGGACAATTCAGCGTGGCACCAAGGCTCCTCAAGCAGCTGGTAAAATTCACAGTGACATGGAAAAGGGATTTATCTGTGCTGAAGTAATTCATTGGGAGGACTATGACAAGCTTGAAAATGAGGCTGCATGCCGTGAAGCTGGTAAACAACACCAAGAAGGACGTAATTATGAAGTTCAGGACGGTGATATTATCTTTTTCAAATTTAACGCCGCTAAAGGAGGTAAGAAGTAGTTTTATTTATTTGAATCAATAATAATAATAATATTGATAAAGTAACGGGAAGGGGAACCTCCAAAAAAAAAAAAAAAAAGAAAAAAAAACTACCTCATCCGACTCACTGTTAAGTGGAGTAGATGTAGAGAAGAGATTTCAAAGAAGCCCATATACTTACAAAAAAAAAAAAAAAAAATTACCGTTTTTCTCGAAGGAAAACCTTTTTTTTATTGAATGAGCTTCTTTGCCTACTTCAATATTCCTTCTTAATGATTTATTTTGGTCTCGAGGGTGGCAAAGTAAATTAGCACTAATGAGGCCTTTAGCATCATTTCGTGGGAATACCCAAACAATGTTGTACACCCCTGTTCAAGATAAGTATTCCATCTTGATGGAGGATGACAAACTTCGGGTTGGTGCTAGCAGTATGCAGGGATGGCGAAGCACCATGGAAGATGCCCACACTATTCATCTTTCTTTACCAGGGTTGCCATCTCACATGGCTTCTGAAGACGGTGCGATAGCGGCAGTATTTGATGGACACTGCGGGAGTAAAACTTCTCAAACTTCTGCTATACGTATCCTGGAATGGATTACATCCATGGAAGCATTTGGTGAGGGAAATATGGAAAAAGCTATTCGTGATGGATTTATCGCTGGTGATTTAGCGATGCAGAGGAGTTCGCCAAATGAAATGAGCGGATGTACAGGTAACTGTGTGTTAATAGTTGAGAACCATCTTTACTGCGGTAATGTTGGTGATTCCCGTGCAGTTTTATGTCGAGATGGAACTGCTATTCCGCTGAGTGAAGATCATAAGCCGAATTTACCGAGAGAAAGGGAGCGCGTCTTGAGGGCAGGGGGATATATTCACAATGGTCGTGTCAATGGCGTTTTGTCCCTAAGTCGTGCCCTTGGTGACTTTGCTTTTAAAGATAGTGATTTACCTCCTGAGGCGCAGGCGGTGACAGCGATTCCAGATGTGGTTCATCTGGAGCTGACCCCACAAGATGAGTTTGTCATCATTGCGTGCGATGGTGTGTGGGATATGGTGACGAATGAGAAAGCTGTTGAGATTGTTCGGAGTGAAGTGGCAGATCACAGTGACCTTTCATTAGCATGTGAGCGGCTTATGGATGCTTGTTTGTCGAAGGTATCGACAGGCGCTGGAACCGATAACATGACCGTTATCATCCTGCAGTTTAAAAGTTTTTTTTTGAAGAAGGTAGAAAGCAGGTTTGGTGCGATTTCTTGTAATGCGGCAGAGTGAAGCTTGGTGTTTTTTTTTTTTTTTTTTTTGCATTCTCTCCTTGCTTTTTTGCAGACTCTGATGGTGCCATGGCTTTTCTTATTTGTAAGCAAAGAAAAAAAAAAAGAGAGAGAGACTGTATCTGCGTGAGTTAGGGGGTTGCTATGTCGACCATCAAGAGAATCTTTTCTCGCGTTTCTGAAACGGAAAAGACTAACCAAAAATAAAAACAAAACAAAACAAAAAAAAAAAAAGAGGAGGGGTAGAAAGTGTGAAATCTTTTCTTCAATTGCTCGAATAACAAAAGGAAGGAGTATCGGTTGCATTTTTTTGTTCTTGATATTTTATTTTATTTTTTTTGCACACCATTCTTTTGCCCGGAGGGAGACTACGTAAAAAGTGGAAGGGCATAGGTTGGTGTGCTACCCGCTTCCATCGCACTAGTCACAATAATTCTCGGGTGCAGAAGTGATAAAATGATATCTGAGAGTGACTGGCGCGTGGTAGGTACTTACCGTTGGCGGTCCTTATATCAGGGGTATACAAATTCAGAGGAACAATGTCTTTATGAAGATGCAATGCACCTAGAAAACATCCCTATTCTTCTCTACGACACCAAGCAGGAAGATGGAGGAATATTGGCTCCTCGGTACGTCGCTAGAAAGGTTTCAGCGCCACAGGCTTCATGTCAAAAAGTGAAGGTGCTTTCTGGTTGTGCTCAGCCGCGGGATAGTACACCTGCGATGCCCCTAGAATCCAGCCTCAACTGTGGAACAGCTCCTACCGTCTCTGGCTCTCCCTCCCATTCGAAAAAGTTTTCTCTGGTGGTAGGGACAACACTTCCACAGCCCCCACATACCGTATTTGTGTTGTTTCTTGTTCTATTATTAGCCGATATTGCGGTGACGGCCACTGCCGTGACGACCACGCCCACAAGTCCATTGATGTCTGCCGTTTGTTGCCTTGCGGCACTTGGCCCGGATGTTGTTTCCATTGGCCTAATACTGAGGCGGGAACGCAATTCCACTTTTGCGGCAATCCATGTAGTATTGTGGCCTTGCCTTGTTTTTCTTTTTCTCTTTCCTTTTATTTCAATGGTATTTATAATACACTTCATATTGTCTGCAATTTTGTTGCTTTTTCTTGTGCGCTTTCGTGTGAGCTCGCACACCACATTTTTTACCTTTCAGTAAACGATACGACTGATACATGCGATGCGTGGCAAATTGCCCTTGGGAACGAAGGCACATGCACAAAATCAGGGACACGAACGAAATAAGGGGGTTTACCGGCGAAATGAAGGAAAATAAAAGAATGCGAAGTAAAAAGAAAAGCAACGACAAACGGTAGAATGTATACATGTGAATTTAAATGAGTTATCGACGGAAGAAAAGCATGAAATAACTTTAGAGGCGGAAAATTTACATCTGCAGTCGAAGATTTTTTTTTTTCTGATTTTTTTTTTTTTTTTTTTTAACAGGCATGCACGTGCATTTTTTTTTTTTTTTCATTTATCGTTTACTTTTTTTATTGGATATGCCCCTCTTTTTAAATTTTATATTTTTATTTTTAAACATAAAGACACAACTTTTTCTTTTGCCCTTTTTTTTTTCTTGTGTTTCTGAATTTTAATGCAGCCCTTAATCTGGACATCGGCGTGACATTCCATTAAGAAGTGTACTTTTTTTTTGTTTCTTAAGGCGAGACTGAAAAGTATTCTTGGCCATGCAGAAAGAAAATGATAGAATGCGAAAGAAAAAAGATGAAACTCGTGAGGAGGAGGAAATCAGCATTTTTCACTGTGATGACGGCAGTGTGTATGAAGGGAGGGTGACTCGTCGTGAGATTCCTGTTGAATTACCTCTCGGTATGCCGACACCCGCTCCTGCTTCCACTCTGCGTGGGCAGCTGCCTCCGGAGGTGATGCCCCAAATTGTTCCAATTCAACATGGGAAAGGGATTTTTAAGGACGCGGGTGGCACAATATACGACGGTAACTGGATTGAAGGCGCTATGTGCGGGGAGGGTGTCCTGCAGTTTCCTAGTGGGGCCACATACACCGGCGGTATGCGCGCCAATGAATTTTGTGGTACAGGCACTTACAATTGGCCCGATGGTTCTCGCTACGAAGGGCAGTGGGAAAATAATAGGATGCATGGATTTGGAGTTTACGTTGATGCTCAGGGGGGACGTTGGGCGGGGAAGTTTTATCGAGGATGTGGAGTTGGTTTATTGGGTGAAATTCACCTGTGAAATGTCCACTGGCCGCAGGTAAAATGCCCTTTGGGAAAGTGGATGGAGAAGACCAGAGGGCTTACTGACTCCGGTGTTTGTCAGTGAGGAATTGCTTGGTATGTGGCGACTGGCAGCAGCAAAAGGATGTACACTAGAGACGCCTTATTTATTTATTTATTTTTTTCTTTCTCCTGCCGTCCTTTTTGTAAAGTATATGCAAACGCTAAAGGAGGGAAAAGAAGTAGACAAAAAAAAAAAGAATACACAAGCCTGTTGGGTATTGGATCTGACGAAACAAGAATGACTGAAAGATGTGGGGAGAGAAAAAGAAAGGAGGAGGCAGTGGTGCTGCTGGCGGTGGCGGCGATACGTCATGAAGAAAATGTGCATCTTATAGAGTTGTTTTTTTTTTTTTTCTCTTTTCCCAAAAAACTTTATTCTTAAAAAACAAAACAAAAGAAACAATATTAATAATAATATATATACATATATATTTGTGGAAGTTATTGTAGACATGGCGGAAGAATTAAATGTAAGTGAGCTTGCAGACCTTCTTGGGGATGATGAACTGCTTGACGTGACGTCGCCGCTCGTCGCAGTACTGCCGCAGAGTGCCACTTCTGCAGAGTTGGACGGCAAGGATGTTGGAAGCAAAAAAAAACACAAGCGGAAGGGCAAACGGTTACGTCACGAAAAAAAGCACCGTAAATTGTCCGAAATTGAAGAGAGTAATGAAAGTGAAGACGATAATAATGAAACACCGAGGAAACGTTCCAAATACGTCATTGATGCAGCAGAAAGCGGTGATTCGGAATCTGAGGGTGACGACTTTATTGTGGGAAGTGACGAGGAGGATGAGGATGGCGATTACGTTGGAGGGATTCCGACATACGAGCCGCGTAAAACTCATATCTTTCGCGAGGGGGAGGAGAACATGACCAGTGAGGAGCTTGCACGCGCTATTGAAGAGCGTCACCGTGCCAGCAAGAAGGAGGGAGGAAAGACGGAAACATTGTTATTGGCTGGTCTCGGCAAGGGGAACATGTCTTCATTACGGTACACATCTCATCTTTTGCCACAGGACACGGACCCGAGAGTGTTTGCCGTGAAGTGTCGACCGCGGATGGCTCGTCTGCTTGTAGCTCGGATTGTAAATAAGTGCTACGCGTACCGGATTGGGAGGAACTACGAAAAGCGGAAGGTTGACCTGGGAATCATCTCCGTCTTTTGCCTAGATCACGTAAAGGAGTACATCTACATTGAGGCACACCGCAAAGTTTTTGTTGAGAACGCATTGAACGGTTTGGATGGGCTATTCCGCTACAAAATTACTCTTGTAAATCCATCTGAATTAATGCAGATGATGGAGCGACGGCCCTCTCCTGAGAAGTTACGTGTTGGTTCTTTTGTTCGGCTGCGACAGCGACAGTACCGCCTTGATCTGGCCCAGGTGGTTGAGGTTCACCCCATCAGTAATCAAGTGACTGTGAAAGTTGTACCGCGTGAGGATTTTGTCGGTAAACCATTTAAAAAAATTGAAATACGCCTGCCGCCAAGATTTTTTGTTCCAACTCTTGCAGCGTATGTGCAGGAGCGGGGCGATTTCTACCGCTGGGGAGATTTGACTTTTGACAAGGAGGGTTATCTTTTAAAGACTGTCTCTTCCCGCATGGTTATCAGCGGCACAAAAATGAAAAATCCAACTGTGGAGGAGATCGCTCTCTTTTTTAACAACGATCGAGAACGCGTGCGAGAGGCTGTTGCACGGTTTGCCTCGGTCGGTCATCGAGGAGCGGATTTGCGCATTGGTAATACTGTGCGGGTGGTCTCGGGACAGCTGCGAGAGACTGTGGGCACCATTGAAAACATATTTTTAGATACCAATACGGTTTCCCTCTCGTGCCCTGTCCCTGGGAGGAAGGAACCAATAAAAGTTCGTGTTGAGCTTGCGGCCTGCGTGAAACACTTTGCTTTAGGCACGCATGTTATAGTCAGCAGTGGAGAACGGGCCGGGGAAAGTGGCACGGTGGTGAACTCATCCGGGGATGTTGTGTACATTTTTTCTGATAGGGCCACCGCTTCCCGTGAGTTGACGGTGTGTGCCAGCGACTGCCACCAGAGCAACTTGATTGGCTCCTTTGGGCACACATCTGGCTCATGGAGGCTGTTTGATTTAGTGATGTTGGCCGACACCTCCTCCGTGGGCTGTATTGTTCGTATTAACCGTAATGATATTTGCGTCTTGACGGATCGCAGTGAGACACGTTACTTGTCTCCCATGCAAATCAAAGCTGCAGTCGCAAGTCCACGCCAGACCATGGATAGACTAAACAACATTGTCACCCGCGGAGCGGAGGTGATCATTCAAACTAGCCCCAACACGCCTTACCACTTGGTTGGGCAAACAGGGCGTGTGGAACAGCTATTCGGCTCAACACTTTTTGTTCGCGTGCGTAGTGTGAAAGAAAATGCGGGGCTGGTGGTTCTTGATGCACGTTCGGTTTTGTTAATTGGTGGACGCACTAGTACGAAACACATCCAACAGCCCAAACAACTTCCCGCGGTGCAGCTGAACCCACATAATGCCACGAAGGGTGATGTTTCTGTTCCACATCCGCGTCTTACATCTGAGGATTGGGCGACGAACTCCGAGTGGTATGAAATCGATGCAAGTTGAAATGAATGGATCATTACACGGGAATTGGGTAAGAGGCCCCGTTTTCTTGCGGAAGGGGGAAATGGGAGGATACCGTGTAGGAGAGAGGAACGAAAAGGAGACGACGACGACGAAGTAAGCAAAAAAATTTTAAAATAAAAAGTTGACGGTACTTTGCCTCATTACCTCCCTATTTTAATTAAATTGTTAGACAGCCTTCTTGAAATTGATGCGGGGTGGGGGTGGGGGGAATGCGGAGGTTATCCGTCTTGTTATACCACAACAATTTTCCCTCTTTACTTTCTTTCACTCTTTCTTAGGCCAACGACAGAGTGCGTGTTTATTTATTTTTATTTTTTTTCCTATTTCCCATTTATTATTGTATATATATATAAATATATTCTAACAGTGGCTCTTGGATAAAGCAGATACATTGTTTGTCATTGGATGGCCGCTGGGATGGTTTTTCGTGGGGCTTCACGAGTCGCCACTGCTGCCGCTGCACACCGCCCTACACAAGTCACAATCGTTTTTCCTTTTGCTAGTTGTGGCATGTTGGCCGGTCCAATATGCATACAAGGACGATTATTTTACCGTTCTTTTCCACTTCGACTGGAGTTGAATCCATCGGGGAATCTGTATAGCATGGAGCACGCGTTCGAGGAGCCGACATTTCGTTTTATGTGTGAGGGGGAGGATATCGATTATAGAGAAGAGGTTCGGGCAGCTTTGCTTGAAGTGCTTGCCAAAAAACCGTCCAATTTTGTTGGTCGGACAGAAGAAACATGGATGCAGGAGAATTCGCCTCAACGTAGCGTGCAACTCCTCCGAGCTGTGGCTAAAAAGCAATTGCTTTCGTTTGCACAAGTGAAATCAACTCCCCGTTTGTTTTCTGCGTTCTTTGATGTGCTAGCATCATGTAGCACTTCATTGGCTTTAATTGCTGCTGACCATTTCACATTTGCGGCGATGATTGCGAAGCATGGGACGAAGGAGATGCAGGAGGCAATATTAGATGATGTGGATACCTGTCGTGTCATTGGCACAATTGCCCACAGGGAACTTATAGCGGAAGGTGTCCCGTTGAATTCGGAGGCGCGGTACGACAAGGACGAGAAGTGTTTTGTGTTGAGAGGGGCGGGGAAGTTTGCCGTCGTGGGAGCAGGATGCGCGGATTGGGCAATTGTGACGGCGACGCTTACCTTGAACAGACAGGACAACCAAGGTCCTCAACTCTTTGTTGTGCAGCTGCGGGAACGAGGCGTTCTGAAGAAGGGCGTGAGCATGCGGCCCATGCAAGGGGAAAATCCAACGATGAGTGCAAGTGGAGTGGGAATTCTTCATTTTGATGACGTTCGCATCGCTGTTTCTGCCCTTTTACTTCCATCACGAGTTGTGGATGGAGGGGTTTTGATAACGGAGGACGCGGATACTTCGACGTCTCTTCAGGCATTAACGTTGCAAATGCGTTTGGCAACCGCTGCACTCTACGCTGGTGCACTGAAGAGGTTCTTGACAAATGTTGTTTTTTTCATTGCACAAAAAGATGTTGTGGGACCGGATGGGAGAAGGGATTACCCTTTTTTTGGTGTGCAACATGTACAAACACCACTTGTGAAAATTATTGCGAAATCCTACGTGTATTTAGCAGATTGGCGCCGTATACTTTCAGTGTTCTCGAAGCCAACGGAGAGGCGCCCAACCTATGAGGACGAGACGAAGCTGGCCGGGACCATCCACTTCTTGCAAGAAACTCTTCTTGAGCTGCATCGGTTTGTGGATGAATTTATGGGGGTCCACGCATCACTGGGGAGCACGGGCAATATTGACGCGGTTGTGATGGCACACCTGCGTCAAGAAGGTGCAGATCAGTCATCGCTGATCCGTGAGGTTGCGTTCAAGTCAGTCACAAAAAATATAGGAGCCAGCCATTGGGGTTGGTGGCTTACCAGTCTGCTGCAGCCTTTTGCGGCGTTGGATAGATTTGTTAAAAATCCCTTTTATTCTCCCCGAATTGCTGATCTGGGCAGGCATTTGATTTTTTTTAGTCACAAACACTATTCTGCGAAAAAGCGACTGCGGCAGTCACGGGAGATTGAGCGTCGAAAAGGGGGCGCGGAACATCAGTGGTACGACTGGGTGATGTTTCGTCATCAACAAGTGCTGCATTGTGGTGAGGCCTACATGGAGATGTTTTCCATGGAGGTGATGATGGCCGAGACACAAGCGTGTACCGACCCGCGGGCGAGAAAGATTCTTCGAGACATTGGGTGGATTTATGCTCTGGCTCGTCAACAAGACCGTTTGGATTACATCCTGACGCAGCAGATGATAAGCCCGGGAAAATCCAATGTCTTAGAGTCCCACCTGGATAACATTGTCACCGTTCTGGCTCCCCAGTGCGTCAACCTTGTGGATGCGTTCCAGGTTCCCGATGCGTTTCGTTCCCCGTGCGCGGCTAAAACTTTGGAGTCGTACTGGACTATTCCAGGGACAAACACGGGGATTCAGCGCGGTGATAGAGTGACACTCTTTCACGACAAAAAGCCCACTGGTGACGCCAAAGAGGAACAGGAGAATATGCAAGAATCGGAAGAAGAATGGGATCTGTTCCACGGACTCGCAGAGTTGCCATCCTTTGCCCAGAAAAAGTGAATTGGCTCTATCGGACCCTTTTTCTCTTCATTGGTGGGGTTTTTTTTCCTTTTTTTTTTTTTTTTTTGCGTCGCACCGGAAATTGGACGCATAAGTGCGAGGTGCACACAGATGGTCTTCACATCCCGTCTTGCCCAATCCGCCAGTTTGCATCACAACGTTCATTGACGTTCTGTTTCTTCTTTTTTTTTTTTTTTCTTTTTTTTTCCTTGTCTTTAATTGTCATAGGAAAAGGTGGGAGGATACGGATGGACTCGATCCATGAGGCGCATTTAGAGAGGATTCTGGAGAATCGTCGCCGACGTGGAGGAAACGCCAACTACAATAATCGACGCGGCTCCTCTACGGCGACGCAGACTCAGCAGTGGGATGCTATAAAAAACGTTGAAACGCCAACACTGATAAAGTATGAATTGAGTCCCACTCCGCGAGGTGTGCCGGGCCACAGCACAGCGGATGAAGCAGGACAGTGTGAAAATGTCGCACGGGCGACTCGAGACGAAGCGGATTCGGGGCTCGGTGTTTGTATAGAAAAAAGAGAGAATAAGCACTACAAGCGGGAACGACTCATTGCGAATAGCAGTGGCTCTGAACATGACACCGGTTCTTTCAAGTACAGCTCCTCGCCACGCTTTGGGGATCGTGATAACAGCAACCGTGGAAGATGTCGTTTCCGGGGCAACGAAAACTTGCAGCTTAGATGGCGCCCGTTGGGGAATTTCTCTTCTTTCTTTGTAGAAAAGAATGTTGAATTTGGGCGTCGCAATGGTTTCGCCTCCGCCAGGTCTCCTTCTCGAACCGTGCCGTTGCTGACGTATGGCTCATCCGACTCTCCCACTTTACGGTGGCGAGGAGTTAGCTCACGTAGGGGGAGGACAGTGTCGCCCCATGCCCTTTCGACATGGCATGTTGGGGCACAATTATTTCAACGCCAGGATGGGCTTCGTGCTGGCGGTTTAGGCAATGACAGGAGAAGCAACTGCAGGGGTGGAAATGGGGAGAACCGAAGTTACGGGCGTCATGACAGTTCACCGAAAATTTACATGGATAGCCCAAGGGGTGTGAAGCAAAGGTCTAATCAACGACGGCATTCAACTGAGGCAGCCAAAATTCCTTTTGGCCCTCCAGATGAACGTAACTGGCAGGCGGCCGGATCGGTGATATACACGGGAAATGCTGCTAAAGAGGAAGGGAGTCCTTTTGTTTCTTCGCGACAGCGTCGGCGACCTCCTGGTTCACCGCTTCCTCAAGGGGCTCCAATTTCCATGGCAGATCGAAACAGTATGACTGACCCAAACAACGACGTCGTTGGTTTGTCTAGTACTCGGACCACGATAGATATTCGTACCAGTGTGTCGATCTTGGCAGCTGGTGACTGGTTCTACAAGTGGAACGGCAATGGCACATCCGTGTCCCCACGGTGGGTGTGGGTGGATTCGCAGAGTCATCTCTTGCTGTGGGCGCACAAAGAAACCCACGAGAGCACCTTTGCTGGAGCCATTAAACTAGAGAAGATTCTCCAAGTGGTTTTTCGTGAGCTGGAACGTCGGAACGCTGAAGGCGTCCCGCTGACCTACTACGTTCTCCTTGTGGAAACGAGTAGGCGTATCCTGCAGTTGGCCACCGAAAGGCGCATGAAAGCGGATACTTGGTATGAGGCTCTGAACAATGTCATGTCGTATCTCCGATCTCGCAAATTTGGTGCTTCCTTCACTTCTCCCATATCGTGAAAAAAGAGAAATGCCGGGACTCCAAGGGTTAAAATCCGCGACATGTTGAACCGGGAGCTGACCAGCGAAACTGTATGCAAGAGGAAATGAAACGGAAGGAAATTCCAGATGGCAATTCGAAGAAGGGGCCTTGTGTGAGGGAAACAAAGCGGGAAACACAAACCAAAGAAAACAAAAAGAAGAAGAAAAAGTAAAGTGAGGTGAAGGGGGGTATGTGGAGTTGCTCAGCCATTGCGACGTTAAACTTCTTTTCCCCCATCTATAGTCAGCAACATGGATGGATGGATGGATGGGGAAGCGGCAAGGTAGAAATAAGAAACAAGAATAAAATACACACACACACACAAACACGCAAGAAAAAAGGAGTAAAAAAAAAAAGAAATGCCAAAAGGCATGAAAATTGAAATGTTTACTCTCCATGTGGGCTTTACTCAAGAGAGACCTCTTGTCGATTTGTTTACCGTGAGTGAGTCATTATTTCTCGCATGCACGACAGTTTGTAGGCAGCGCCACCTGTCTATCCCTTTCTTTCCGCTCTCTTTGCGTTTTCTATCGTAACGACAATCATTCCGCAGTGATCTCAGGCGGCTGTGATGGGTTTGGTGCTGTTTTATTATTATTATTATTTTTTATTTTGCCATATATGAGATGACCAAACACACGAATAGAAAGAGGCGGGAAACACGCCACTAGAGATCTATCCCTTTCATTGCAGTTTCTTTTTTCTTTAAAATTTCTGTATTAATTTTTTTTTGTCATCCCCCTTCTTTATCGAAATATGCTTACAAGCACAAGTATTACAAGGCAGAAGGAAAGTATAGACACTTTTAAAGGTTTTGGTTTCCGGTGCCGCCTTGGCAACTTGATACATATGAAAGTCGTTACTTTTCTTTTCTTTTTATCTTTTTTTTTTTTTTTTTGCTTCTTTTCTTTTGTTTTGTGCTTATCAAGGAAGCAACGATGTATGGGATTTTTTATGACTCAAAGTTTAACCCTTGCTCCTTTTTTTTTCTTTTTTTTTTTTTTGCTGTTGCTGTGTGTACCCCCTCTTTTTTTTTTTTTTTTTGGTGGAGGCTACACTTTATTCCAAGAGGAAGAGGGGTGCGTGGGGGGTTGTGTGACTGCAGTAAAAATAAGGGAGAAAGAGGGAGATAAAAAAGACGATAAATACTGAGAGACCGCAGAGAATCGATTCTACACAACAAGAGAGGCCACAATGCTTGCTCAGGGTGTCGCTCCGCGTGTGGCCCAAGCCCCCGCTGTCCGAGTACCAACGCTGGAGCCATCAACGTCGTCGTCGTCGTTGTTTACTGGAACCCGCCTGTTTCGGAGTAATCCAAATGAACGGCAAATGCAGGCGAGCACACTGAGCGATCACTATCGGCCAGCACAGGTGGGCACGGACCAGCAATATTGTCCCCACACAGCTCAGCTACGAGAATTGGAAAGTCCCATAAACACTGTAAAAATTGAAGAGCTCTTGCGCAGTGTCCGTGCGACTAGTACCGCCGCGGTTGCCGCAGTGGGAGAGTTGACGGACGATTCGCCTCCACCCCGCCAGATAACGTCTTCGCAGCAACGAACGCCATGTGAGGGCTGCCAACGGCGAAGTGCTTCGCCGGATCGAGTGCATACGGCACGATCGAGCCCGATGAAGAGAACGCCGCGGGGCGAATCGCCGGCACGCCCTGCTTGGAATCAAAACCGTCCAACGCCCCGCGTGAAACCCACCGTAAGTGCTCCGCGAACGGAGCCTCGGCGAGTGACGCGCGATGCAAGCGTTGAAAATCGCAGCCGACCGTGGATGGAGGGTATGAAACTTAAGAACAGCTCAAGGTGTAAACTGACGGCGGAGAGGGACAAGAATCACCAGAAGTTTACTCCGGTGATCCAGTCTCAGCCCTCCCATCAAGTGCCAACATGTGCGAGAAAAGCGTCCTCCGTTGGGGTGGGGATGTCATCACGGACAGTGTCGGGCGGGACGGGAGGTTTGAAAACGGGGAATGATGAAGTGGCCTTTCAGCCCCGCGTGGAATTTTTGGAGGAATCACTACGAGATGTGCAACAAAGGGCTGTGCGAGCCGAAGCACGTTGTGAAGAGCTGGAGGCTGCCTTGCAGGCGCTGGCATTGGAGCACCGTGAGTCAATCTCGAGGCTGGAGGGACGCAATGTGCAGTTGAATGCCCGGGTACAGCACGTGCTGCAGTGGATCGAACACGTCGATGCGACAAGGGTCGCAAGGGAGGTTTTCGCACAGGAGGTTGAGATGGAAAGGACAAATGAAAGTGGAGATGTTGAGGTTCCTTCCCAGAGTCTTTCCATCAACAATGATGTTGGTGACTCGCCAGGAATTGAAAAGGCGGTCAAGGCCACACCGGTGCGAGTACCTCCTACTCCACCCATGACGCTTCAAATTCAACATCGATAGAGGCACAAATTTTCACCGCAGGTATCTATGTATGTAGTTATGAATGAATGGATGCACTTAGCCATAGAGTTTTCACTTTGTTTCAGTGTAGAAGAGCCAAAGAAGAAGAAGAGAGAGAGAGGGAGAGCGAAAAAAAAAAAAGAGAGAGATGCCTAATGCCAGTATGCGTGTCGAAATTTAAGCTGATGGGGAACACGCAAGGACGTCTTTTTTAAAGCAAAGATAAGGCCCGGAAGGGTTTAGAGTGGAGATCTTGTCTGTCGCACCTCCATTGGAGTGTTTTCTTCTTTCCACGCGTCCAATGGATTTTGGCGGATCTTTGCCTTCTACGATGAAAGGTTAGATCGATAGATTAAAAAAAAAAAAATTTTGGCTCTCTAACACACACACACACACAAATAAAATAAAAGAATTATGTTTCCTATGAGACGGCCTTTCGCTGTGGATGTGTTGTGTACCATCATGCCGCTTCTCCGGCTTTGCGTTTATTTTAGAGCTCTGTCCCTTTTTTTTTTGTTGTTGTTGTCTTGGTGTGTGTCTGTCCGTCTGTTTCGGGGGACGCCACGTGAAAAGGTTGAGTTTTGGGGGGTTTGAGGTTTTATTTTTTTGCGTCGAGGCGTTTTCACATTCAGTGCCTCAGGGTAGTCGGATAATGCAGCAAAAAAGCCATGTGCACTGTCCTGCAGGTACTCGGGGGCTACAATGGGCGACCTTGCCGTGTGCCGCGACCATTGAAGAATAACACAACGGGGAGACGTGCACGGGGGTGTTTCCTGCCGTGGGAATTTTATACGAGTCGTTTGGGTCATGTAAGGAAATAACGTGCGAAGGAAACACGGCGTTTGCCCTGATACCGTGTGAAGGCCTTTTTTTCCCTCTTAAGAGTGTTCCGTAGCTTTTTTCCATTTGAGGGGGCAGAGTTGGAAACTGAAACCAAACACCTCTGCAGATGCCATGTGCTTTCATGACTGCATCTCCCCACTCGTCATTGTCGTTTTTTTTTTCTTTTTTCTGCTTCTCGGAGCATTTGCACACAGTGTGCGGGAGAGTGTGCCACGGACACGTGAGGGTCCTTGCGTGTGGGTGGGCTTAGCTGCAGAAGAAAAAAGAAGAGAGAGAGGGACGGGGTAAGGTTCCTAAGGAAGGAGAATCGGAATAGTAATGCCGCAGACGCAGGAGACGATGGCAAGTGCTACTCTTGACGCACTTCGGGCTGCATTGACATCGGGACAAATGTCGGCGTTGAGGGAAGTGAAGGCGGATGCCGTGCTGTTCGATGAGGTGAATGCTCTTCCCGAGTTGTTGCGTCTGTGTGGTTTGATTGAGGCGGGGCACAATCTGGCTTTGATGAATGCAGCTTGGAAACTGCTTCTTTCTGTTTCCTCACTCAATACCATTAGTCAACCCGTATACAGCGGGATCCTGCAGTTCATGCTCTCCCAGCTACACCACCATGTCTTTTCTCACGACTGGTCCGATGCGAAAAAGATAAAATTGACTTCTTTTGTTGCCTCTCATGTTGTTTCAGCGGTGCGAGCACATCCTTTTATTGCGGCTCGAGACGAGAGGTTGGTTCAGTCGATTGTAGGGCTTCACGCTGTCGTTTGCCTCACGGTTGCAACGAGTGGTCATAAGGAGGCAGCGCAGCAGCTACACCAGTGCATCGTTGTCCGCTTGCTGGCCATTTTGGAGGCGATGGGATCTTCGTTTTCTGCGTCGTCACCACTTTCAGCGGGTGAACATTTGAGATTGCTTCTACAATGTCTTGCCGACCCACCTCCGGCTGCGACGGCGGAGTTGGCAACGGCGTCTGTTGCCGCTGGCTCTTCAGTAGCGGCATTGGCTGCAATGTTAGCAGCAACGCGTTCCTTCCAGGTCTGCGACCGGGCATATGTGGAGAGAATACTGGCCGCATTTCTCTTATGGTTGCCCGATATGCGGCTTGTCTTCTCGGATGTGGCGGAACAAGAGGAGACGACAGAAGCAGCAGAAACAACAGTAACAACAGTTCTAGCAGCGTCATGTGACAAGGATCCTGACATAGTTCTGTGCCATAGAATAGTGCGACACGCAAGGAATCTCCCACGCGCCGTGTTTTTTCCAGAACAAGACGGCGATGGGGCTGCCGAGTCCTCAGGCGAGGTGCATCTCAACGCGCAGCTGCTTTTGCTTCTTCGAAGCCTTGCGTGCAGAAGTGTGGATGCCATACGGGGCGGGGAGTGGCGCGACAAGGAAGGGTCGCCTGGCGGTGGCTCGCTTCTGCGCTGCCGTGTGTTTAGTTTACTCATGACAGCGCTCCTTGTGCCAAATGACACCAGTGCAGCGCGTGTGCTGTTGGTGTGGGAGGCCGTGCTGAGCCGACTGTCCAACGCAGACCGGGAGGGACTTGGAGTGGAGCTGCTACAGCTTGGCGAAGAGCAGCTCCGCGCCCTCCGTGAGCTTCCAGCGGAATCACGCGACAGGGCGACATGCTTGCGACGCCTTCTGAACGCCCTGGCGGTGCTTCTGACGGAGATCTGCAGACAGCTGCAGCGCCCACCGAAATCACTTTATGGGTCGTTTGCAGAAACAACAGCAACACGCATATCGTCATTAAACCCCACTTCATTTTGTACTCTGGTGAATGTTCTTTACCATCAATCGTCTGTCTATCAGTGGTGGAACGAGAAGTCGATCCCAAAAGAGGAGGTGTTAGGCGGTACGGAGGAGGAGGCAAAAGCAATTCATGATGAACTTCGGGCTGTGCTCACGGAATGGCAGGATTATACCTCTTTGAAGATCAACAGCGACATGGCATCACGCATTTGCATCACTATTGCATCTGTCCCGGAGAGGGTGCATAACATACTGGAGCGGACTAATTCGCCTAAAAGCATCACGGCTGTTCTTCTGATCGCTACGAAAGTTCTTCAAAAACTTGCGGAGGAATTAAATACCTCCTATGCTATTTGCGAGTGCGCACGTTTTGTGGCGGCAGAGCTTGTTGCTGTGACGGGATTTGTACTTTCTGAAGACCCGACTTTTCTGGCGTGCATACGTCGTCTTGTGGACATTAGCTTCGCTCTAACCGAAGACGGAAAAGAAGTTCGGGTGGATGGGATGCTTCGATATCACGCCGCCGTGTGTCTCCGGAACTTTGCACAGCGCAACGCGGTTGTGCCGTTGGGCCAACTTCGACTTTCGGAGGCGGTGACGACCGCGCTGAGGATTCTGCTGCAGGGAGGTGATGTTGCTGACACAGATGTCAGTATGCGTGATTGTGAGGGTTTTTTAGCCCATCGCTTGGAAGAGTGGAAGAGTCTTTTGTCACGAAGCGGTCACGCAGCGAAGAGCAGTCAGTCGGCGGGCTCTTTGGTTGAGTTTGCGCTTCACGCAGCTTCCACTTTTTCGCAGAGTGTGATTGACGGCCACGAGGGCCAGTTCTTTTTGCGGCTGCAGCGCAGTGAAGATACGGTGCGGTCGGTTTTGCAGTGGCTAAAGGCGGGTCGAGCCCTGCAGCCGTCGGAGGAGGAGACACTGGTGCGGTTAGAGCAGCTTGTGTGTGCAGCGGCGAACATGACACGCCACGCGCTCAGCAGCAATGGGGATGTGTTCTGCTCGTCTGCCGACATTGGGGCGGGAGCAACGCAGACGACAGGGCTGAGCCCGGAGATAATTAACGTGGATTAGAAGAGCAGGACAGAGCGAAGGACGGGGTGGAAGAGAGGGGGGAAATGGAAGGAGGGAAGAAAAGAGAAGATCTGAGATGCGTGGGGTAGGAGAAAAAGAGAAAAAGAGAAAAAGAGATCAAAAAAATAAAAAAGAGAGAGAAGGAGAGATGCGGACAAGAAGGCTTACATAAATGAGACTACACAGAGAGAGTCAGGGGGAGAGTACCACTGCAGGTGAAAATAATTTGCATGACGGGAGAGGGATCATTGGGCCAATGCTGCTTCATTGCCTTCTTCTTTCGTTGCATGTAGCTGAGAGTTCCTCTTCCTTTTTTTTTTTTTGTTCTCTGACCGCACTTACGTTTTTCAGTCCTGTGGCAGCGTGGTGGAGGTGACATGTCACGACATGACTTAGCCCGGCCGGCGCGGCGTTCTGTAAAGAGGCCTAGAAATACGAGCAATGGATCGGGGGCGAGAAGCGACGTTTACCATCCGCTGCGCTACACGGACTCAACAAAACAGGCGATGATACCGCCACCCACTGAGCGTGCCGTTGTAGTCATTTTGGAGAATGCGGGCCTTCTTCTTGGACGCGAGGGTGTGGTTGATGCGTACGACCGCGCGGCAAGCACTGAGATTGCGAACGCCTCGCTGAAGGATGTCCGCCCTGACATTGTGCATCAGTGTCTCCTCGCCCTCTTTGACTCGGAGCTTGGATGGCAGCGGCGGCTGCGTGTGTACATCAGTCTATTCGCACGCAGCGGACGCACCATTGAGGTTTCGCCAGCACTGCGCCCGCCACGCACATTTCGCCGCTTCAAAGGACTTGTCGCCGCGCTGCTCCGCGATGGTGCGGTGCGGTCGGTGGATGGGACTGTGCTGATGAGGATCCTGCCGGGCTCCGTCGCGCCTGTGGTGCCGTGTGGGGCGCAGGTTATCGGGCTGACGAATGCTGTCGCTGCGCCCGTGCGTACCGCGACGCAGTTGGCTCGCGAGGCGCTTGCGGACCCGGTGGACGACAACCTTCAGGGCGGCGTGAAGAATGTCGCGGGGTTCTTTTGCATCTCCTGCACCGACGAGGCCGATCTCGACGGCATCGACTACGTGACGCAGCAGGCCTGCCTGAGCGCGTACCCTACCACGGCGCATGTAATGTGTGCCCGCATCTGCGAGGGGTTCGCACGGGCGGCGAAGACAATTGATCCCGCAGCCAGCAAGAGCGAGTAAATAAATGAAGCGAACAGCAAAAAAAAAAAAAAGGAAAAAGAAAAGGAAGAAACAAACGAACAAAAAAAAAAAGGGGAGGAAATCGACAGCAGCTCTCGGTTACAAATGCACACACACACAAACGTGGACGTTTCGTGGCGGAAGACGAGATCCATGCAGGCAGCGCACGAAGGCAGAGTTGACGGTAATTTTTCCTTTCCTTTTTTGTTTATTTATTTATTTTTCCCATCGGCATCTTTCTTCTCTTTTTTTTTTTTTTTCCTTTTTTATTTTTTATTTCCTGCGAGGCTTTCTTTTTTTTTTTTTTTTTGCTTCTTCCCCAGCTGCATTTCCACGTGCATCTTTTACTTTTTTACTTCTTGTGCGTTTTTCCTTTCACTCCATCCACCTTTTCATCGTGGCCAAAGGGGGAGTACGACATTGACGCGTATACTCTTTTCATTAGAAAGGCACGTGCACACAAACAAAGGAGAAGAAATAACTTTACTTTGTTTTTTTGTTTTCCTCTTCTTTTGGTATTGGGAAACATGTCGTCTTCCGTTTTTCCGGATGAGTTTCGCTGCTTTCGTCACATCACGCACATATACGCCCGGAACCTGCCACTTCATCCGATGGGGGCGACGGTACAGGCGGCGGACGACGGCGGAATTGCGGGATCGGCGCTGGACACTCCAACGTTGTGCGATGGAGCGCGCCTTGGCTGCCGTACGTCACAGGGGCAACGTTGTGTCTCGTCATATTTTGTTTTGAGTCTTCCGCCGGGCAAAGTCGGGAAAATGGCGGCGGAAGGGGGCAACCGCCGCATCTACACAAGTGAGGTGCGCCGTGAAACCCAGCAGCCGGTGTGGGACCACATCCCGAAAGAAACCATTGAGCAATTCAAGGGAATTACGCGATTTGTTTTTTCCTTGTACTATTGCACAACCCACCCGGAGGAGGCGATTGCTTCTCCTGAAACAGACTGCCTGTTCTACGAGATGCTGATCCAGACTTCCCATGTACAGTACGTGGCCGCCTCAATGACGAAGGCAGACTCGTTGCCAAACTTACCGTATCACGTGGAAAATAGACCGAACTCCTTTGTAGTGTTGCTCCGCTGTATGGATGGTGTTTTTTTCCCAAAGCACCAGGGCGTGCAGATGGATGAGGGAGGGGAGGGCATGGATTTTATTAAAACACCGTACTTGCACGAAGACTCGGATCCCACACGACTCTGCGTGGACGCAGAAGTAATGCGAGCTCGGGGAAAAAGCATAAATGCTCCAATGGAAAAAATAACGCTGGGTGACCTTAAAACATTTGCGACGGCTACGTTAGCATGGACTTATCTCAGTGAGTTAGCAGTGGGTCGTCGTGGAGAACGGCAGGCGTATATCGATGACATGATGGATTCGCGTCGTGGGGAGGTTGCTATCATGGCGCAGCGTGCGATGTTGGAGGCTCGTCTCGCCAAGGCCCGTGAAGATTTAGGATGCCGCTCAAGTGAATTACTTGAGTTGCGCAATCGATACAAGGAGGAGCAAGAATCAATGATGTTGCAGATGGCGCAGCTAGAGAAGCTGCGGTCAAGCACAGCACTTGAAGAAGTTCAGCAACAAGAGGCAAATAAGATGCTGAATGAACAGGAGCTCCCTCTTTCCACGCTTCGTGCACAGCTTGGCACTGTCAGGCGATTGCGGTTTGAAGAATTGAGGACAATGTTCCCTATTCACGTGGATTTAGCTGGATTGGCAGACACCATATGCGGCCATTATCTGCCTGTGAAGGGGAAGGAGGTGGGAGTGACATCGGACGTGATGCACGATTGGGGTCTTGCATTAGGCGCTGCAGCCCATCTTGTCGCCACGGCTGCCACAATTTACGGTTGTTCCCTTCCCCACCCTCTGCTATTATGTGGCGGACGTTGTTGTGTGATGGCCAAGCCGGGTCTTCCCGTCGCTGCTGTTGTGTCTCCATTCACCGGCCCGAGCGATGTGAAACTTCCTCTTTACTGCGCACGCACCGCTGACCGCCCGCTTATGTCTGCAGCGATGCAGCTGCTTTCAGAAGACGTGGCGGCGCTTGCGAGGGCGATGGGACACCATGACATTGCGGCAAACGCAAGGGACAATGACGGACGGTTAGCGGTCATTCTAAAGCAGCTTTTGTTGCTCGTGTAGTTCATGTAGCTTGTGGCCTTATCGCTACGTGAATTGTGACTTTTTTTAAAATTACCCCTTCTCTTCTCTCTGCGGTTTCTTTGCTTCTGTTGTGGCTTTTTTATTTATTTTTTTTTTATTTATTTATTTCCTTTTTTTTTTTTTTTGTGCGTCTGTCAACGAGAGGTGCCGAGGGGCCGTTTAGTTTGAAGGGCGATGCATTCGCAGGCCAGCGCACCCACCCCGTCGTTCTCGACGGCTTCTGAGACCGTCGCGTCGTCATCCACTCTACCGACTTCCGAGACACGGATGGAGGTGCTCCAGAGGACTCTGCATTTGCTCCGGCAGGAGGTGCTTGTGCCGTATTTTGAGTTTGTTGAGCGACTTCGGGTGACGAACAACCGGGCTGTGAGGGTGCAGGACGTTGTGGAGACACTCTACACCGCGTCGTTTAGGGAGAAGGGTAGCAGTGCGTGATGCAACGCGTCTCTTGTTTCTTTCTTTTCCCCTTTTTTCCCTTTTTTTTTGTTGAGTAACGCGGCGGTTGTGCGGCGAAACGCGTGAAATCCTTTGAGGCGTGTGCCCTTTTCAATCTTTTTTTATGTAATCGGACCTTTTTTAAAAAATTGAATGTGTGTTGTGCCTTGACCCTCATTGGAACAGCAAAAGGGGTTTCGAATGAAATGCTGAAGGCACCGTACATACGAGCTGCGGCAGTGGGACGCAAGATTCCTCTGCTTCCGCTGGAATATTACAGCGGGGGGCGCCACGGAGCGGCGTTCATGCTGGCGGAACTGCGACGTCTTGATGACAGAAAGGACTCTTCGACCTCGAACACGGCGCCTTCGCTGGCCCTGTGGCTCTACCGTTCTTCTCTGCTTCGGCGACTGTGGCTTGAGGGGATCGTATGTGACGCCGTAGTGGCCGACGGCTTTACCGCCAGGGAATTTACGGCGTTGCTGCACCGAATTCTTCAAGCCCCGCGCTTCTTACGCGGCGAAAACAAGGCCACTCAGGATGAGGCCGTCAAACTTGTGTGGGGTGTTCAGAAGGAGTTTGCATGGCGTGTGTTGGGGGCTATCGTGGAGGAAAACCAGTGGTTTTGGACGTTACGGGAGGCGTGGGACTGTGCCACAACTCTGGTGAAGGATTCCGTTTTTCCCGATGATGTGATGAGTCTGTCATTGCTGCTACCGCTGGCACGGCGCATGGCGACGAGGGAAGGTTCGGGATGCACACTGCATGAGGGCCTGCGGGATCTTCACGCACAGAAACTTCACGGAGGCGTCTTGTGGTTTCTTGCACGACGTGCCACATCGTCGCCACGGCCTGAAAAACAGTTGCTGGAGGCCGCAACCAAAGCCGCCTGCGCGGTGCCAACTTTTTTGATTATAAAATCATCGGATGGGAAATTGAATGGCGACGACGAGAAACAAATGGCTTCTTTATTGCAAATGACACATGGTTCTGGAGAAACTTCACAAGAGAGCGTATTCTCTCCTTTTTGGCACGTCCTTCTCTATGAAATGGTTTATTATGCGCATTGCATTCTTTGTGATGCTACGGCGAAGGAGCGACATCAGGTGGGGACTCTTCTTTCTCTCCGACGTGTTTTGTGTTCCTTTTGTCGCCACAGTCTTGTGCGTCCAGTGCTGGAATTTCATTGTGCCATAACAGCGCCATGGCGAAAAGGTTTGGAGAAAGACCCCTCTGCTTTGAATGCACGTTACGGTCCCCTTGTGTACCGAGAGGCACTGCTGCTGGACGCATATGCACTTATGACCCTTGGACATGTGGGCGAGACAGCCATCGACGTGGACGATGCAGCCGTGAAGGAAGTAATGATGATTCAATCACGTTGCCTCGCTCACCTAGAGGCCCTCGCTCAGAACAAACCCGATGCAGGCATTGACCGCGACGCCATGGGACTACATCGGGGTGCTCGTGCGGGTGTGGAGCGACGCCTGTGTGAAGGTATCCGGCTCTCCTTTAAGTTACTACTACGCCGTGGTGCATATGAGGTCATTCATCAGATCCTCACGCGTTGCCCTTCGCTTGGTGGCTCATGGGAAGGTGGCAAGGCTCTCGTGATGCTGGGTAAACACATGGAGGCGGTGTCGATCTTCACAAATTTTTTGGAGAGCACGAGAAAACAGTTTGCCTCCGGAATTCCGCACCATATTCGTTGTATGATGTTGGAGGCTGTGGAGGGTGCGGCACGGAGCTACCTGAAGGAAACGAGTGACGTTACAGGAAGACTGGTTTCTTTGTACGAAGTCACACGGAATTGGGGCTTTCCCGTTCCAGCAGCCGTTACATTTGCCGCCATTCTCCGCGCATGTTGTACAGGGAGAAATGGGACAGAGGGCTTCAGAAATTGGGGCCGGAAAAAGCGGTTGGATTTGATGAACGCACTGCTTCGTCACCATGTCACCGTTGCAGCATACATTGGGGATGGTCTTCTTCTAGAGACGATTGAAATATTTGTGAAGCTGCTGGCGGAATGTCGGGAAGGTGCACTATCGTCCAATGTGGATTTATTGCCCTTGCTGCAAAGGGCACATCCCGGGTTGCCCGTCTACCGGGTGGCGATTCTTCACTTCTTACGTGTGGAATACAAGGACGCCGTGAATGCCCTACTGAAGCACATCGCCCCGAGTTCTGCGGATACTACCGTTCTTTTGACGCCACTGCAGGAGTTACCGCTCGCCGCTTTGGAGGCGCTGTCTAGGCACGTGGCACAGGCAGAATCCGAGGAACAACGTGTGGTCTCTGCCGTATTGAGTGCATTGGAGTACCGACGGTTCGCGGAGGAGCAACGATTGCCGTGGCAATGCCACCTTTGCCGACACTGGAACAAGAAAAATGCCTCCGCATGCAAATTATGCGGTTCACTAGAACTTGCTGTGGTGCGGTGTCATGCGTGTGGGGGATTTTCGCCCACCAGTGCCCCTGGCTGCCTCGTGTGCGGTGCCGAGAAACGACGAAATACTAGTGATCAAGGGGTTTCTCACGTCAGGGAAGACTGCACCATTTTCCCGTTGCGCAGGTGGCGGTGTGGGCGATGTAACCACACAAATGAGCCACAACATTTGTTTTACTGCTCCAAATGCGGATCCGTTCAACCAGAAATGGTAGAAGCTCTAACGCATACATCGTTTGATTGTCGCGTGTGTAGCCACCATAACCCCCTGGGTTTGCTACGGCCTTGGTGCCCGGCATGCGGCACACTGAGCACTGTTGCAGCTGCGGGGCCGCCAAAGACCTTGTGGCGATGTGTTGAGTGCCGCACACTCACTCCATGGATTCTCACACATTGTCATGGCTGCGGTGGGTCGAAACCGGCGCCAACTTTACGTTTTGACACGCCATGGTTTACGCGCGTTTGCATGAGTTGCGAGGCGATAAATCCCGCCTGGAGTGTTGTTTGCCATGGCTGTGGTGTAAAGCTTGCGACAGATGGAGGGAAGAAGGAGCATGAAGTGGAGGAGAGGGAGCAATTGGTGGTCCATTCTGCGCGTGGTGAAGTTTCTGCTGGAGAGCCCACGTCCACATCTTGTCCGCATTGTGGCAACTTGTACCCCGATCATAGGGACATGTTTTGCCGAACTTGTTTTGTCCTTCGCCCCAACAGCACGTGCTTACTTTGGGTGTGTCTGCACAATAATTGTTTGGGAGTAAATGTACGCTATGGGGAGAGGGGCGAAAGGGGTTTGCTGGTATGCAGCCACTGCGGCGTGTCGCACAACATCGCCGCTGCCGGGGGCTATCATTCTAACCCTTTGCGCTACAGAGAGCTCACCTCTGTGGAGAAGCGACGTGGATGCGGTAAAGATCCACCGACAGGAGATGAGAGTCGTGGCATGCAAAGCAGTCAATTACCAAGTGCACTGTTGTTGCCGGTGCCATCTGCTCCTCGCGTGTGCGCCTTTTGCGGTGCATACCTCCAGCTGCAGAATATTGCTCGGATATGTCACGTTTGTTTTTACTGCGGCTACTCATTGCCCCATTCTTCAGATGCTTCCGCGGCTGAACATGACATTGCCCTTCGCTTGATACTCAGTGCGATGCTACAAACGGTGCATCGCGTGAAACAAGGTCTTCTCTCTTCCACCACGGTACTGTCACCCCTCCGCTCCATGCTAATGGCGCTCCTTCGCGCACAGGAGGTGCAACTTCCGTGGCGTGGTTGTGATCTCTTGAATGGGATGCGTTGCGGTTTGCAATCGCGCGTCCCAGTGTTGGAGAATGACACCGTCCATAGTTCAGTATGCGACGTGGCAGAGATTATCCGAACCGTTTGTGAGATTGCATCCTCGGCGACAGTGGATGAGAAAGCCACCGCAAAGGAAGGAACAAAATCTTCTTGGACAAAGAAGCGACCATGGGTACATCTTGCACTTGACCTTGTCGATCTCATGAACCGCACAACTGAATACGACGAGTTGGGATTTGATGTCTTAGCGCAACTCTGCATGGAGGTAAGGCCGCAGCAGCGCTCTCACATTTACCGAGAAACCCACTGGACGTACCTGCGCTACATGAAGCTACCGAGAGAATTTATTGTTAACGATGTCGTCTGTCCAACTTGTCTGCTGCCAAAAGCACGTGGGACTGGGGAGGCGGGAAATACATGCCGCTGTACGGTAAGTCTTACGGATAGTGGTGCCACAGATGCATCAGTTATGATTAAAAGGGCCTAAAATTGGCTTGGGGCAAAGGGTATTTGTGTGAGCGTGTATGTGACTGAATGAGCGTGCACAATCTGCTTCAAGAGCCATCTGACTGTTCGTACTCTTGATAAACTCTTCCATCCGCTTTTAACTGCTATTTTTTCTTTCGTTCCTATTTCCTGTACTTCTTCCTCTCTTTCAATTGGCAAGGGTGGGAGAAGTTGGTGGACATACCCAAAGAGAAGGCAGCGAAAATGAAAAAGAAAGAAATGCAGTACGCTCTTCTTCTGGGCGACTCCCTGACACAGCAAGGTTACGAGTCCGGCTGGGCGTCACGCCTCAGCAAGCGTTACGTGCGCCGCGCGGATGTTATCAATCGTGGGCTAAGCGGTTACAACACGCGCTGGGTGCTGGATATACTGAAGGATGATACGAGGCGTCAGCAGCTTCTTCCCACACAACCTGGTAAGGCGCTGTTCGTGACTCTGATGCTTGGGTCCAACGATTGCGCTGGATTTCCTCAGCAGGTCTCACTGGATGAATACGGTGCGAACCTGAGGGCAATCATTGACACTGTGCGCAAGCACGTATGTCCCGTTGGTGGTATATTCCTCCTTTCGCCCTCACCGCTGGACGAGAAGGGACGACTTCAGTGGCTGCGTGACGTTGGTTGTGACCCCAATTCTTGTGGCCGCAGCTTCGAATCCATGCGACGCTATCGCGATGCTTCTCTGCGGGTTGGGGCCGAGGAGTATGAGGAGCACGGGGATGTTTTTACGGTCGACCTGTACCGCGTCTTTCTGGGCAGGAGTGCTGACACGGTGCCGTACGCCGAGGGCTCATGGTGTGAGTATTTTTCTGATGGTCTCCACTTCAACGAGAACGGCGGCCGCGTTGTGTTTGAGGCGCTGTGGTGTGCCATTGAGAAGTCTGTGAAGGCCAGCCACATTCTGCCGGACCGTCTTCCGTACGTTCTGCCACCACATGAAACATTGGTGGGTGGCAGCTCGTGAAGAAGCATCTTTCTGGGGCTGGGCTGATCTGAGCCGATGTGTGGCTTGCTGTGCCCAATGGGTCATTGTTATCTTCTGGTTGGGGGAACACAATATTATATTATTTTCAGTGTGTGCATGTGGGGCACCCTTGTTGGTTTGATGGGAGTCGCCGCGTTTCGCACGGATGTGTTTTCTGCTCTGATTGTTGCTCATCCACCACTCATTACTCTGCTTGCTAGGGGGTTATAGGGAGGTAGGTGCTTGTTGCTTTAGCCGAATGCATGGTGCAGGAGTGGAGTCGTGCCTTGCGTCTGCCTATGAGCGAAGGGCGGACGCGGTTCTGCGCCTGGCGGAGGAGCTTGAGTGCGGATCGCCCAGTGCAGGACAGTGTTCTTCGCCGCACTTCTTCCGTGCCCTTGTGACGGCGTACCTTGTGCAGAACGATGCTGTGAACGCGACGTGGGCGTTGCAGCGGTGGGCGACGGGACCGGCGGGCGCCGGCGAGCAAGAGGAGGAGGGCGGAGTGCGTGCGATGCTTGAGAGGGTCGCCCGTCACTGCGGTCGGTGCGCGTATGGGGAGGCCTTTCGCGAGGCGTTGGGAGCGGTTGGCGGCGGGACTGGGAGGGACGTGGAGCACCTGGAGCGCTGGCTGCTTGACTACCTGGCGGCACGACACGTTCATCAGCGGCGGACGTTTTATGGCGAGTCCGGTGGCATGGAGAAGCTTGCGGTGGGCCTTGGCGTGACCGTTGCGGACCTGGAGGCGCGACTGCAGCGTGTTCGGGAGGACGAGCTGCGGCACATTGGGCGCGAGGTGTCGGGCGGCCCGTGCGAGAAGACACGCGACACGCTGTGCTGCATGCTGCAGGTGGGAAAAGCGGTTTAGGTTGGTGCGTGTGTGCGTGTTGAACTCTTTTTTTTTTCTTTTTCTGTGTGTGTGTGTGTATGTGTGTTTGGGGCTGGGGCAGTGGTCTCTTCCTCTCCGTGTTTTGTTGTGGGCGTCTGTGCATGATGCATGCATGCATTTGTGTGTGTGTGTTTATGCCTTTCTCCTATTTCACGCCTATTCCTTTGGTGTGCGGGCAGTAAGCAGTAAGCAGGAGGGGGAGAAGGAGCTGTTGTGTGGACAGGCAAGCAGATGCTCCGCCGAGGCACGGTCTCGCTGTTGAGGGCCCGGCCGAAGACCGTTAACTTTGAGCCGGGCTCGAACCGCATGCCGGATGCCGCTGTGATGGCGAAGGCAAAGGACATCTTCGCGGTGCCGGAGTTCCCTGGGAAGCGGGTGCTGCACAACTGGCGCTTCTTCATCAAGGCGGGGAAGGCGGCCACTGGCCCGCCGGTGGGGCAGGAGTTCTCGAAGCTCGGCCTGAAGGCCATGGATTTTGCAAAGTCCTTTAACGATCGCACGAAGCCGCACTTCAAGGACGACGTGGAGCTCATCGTACGCATTCAGGTGTACTTTGACAAGTCGTACCTGTACACCATCGAGCCGCCGCCCACGGCTTGGTTTATTCTGCGGGCCCTGCGGAAGAAGCGCCGTGAGACCGGCCCGGTGCCGATTCGCGGACACTACTGCGCCCTAATGACGCTGGAGATGGCGTACGAGATAGCGAAGATGAAGCCGAGGAGTTGGGGAAGGCCGGAGTACCCACTCATTGAGACGCGCGTGCGTCGAGTGGTGGGGCAGGCGCGCCGCATGGGCGTGTGTTTTGTCGGCGTCGACACGCCGCACAGCTCTCCCGTGAAGGGCGTGACGGAGAAGCAGTACGCGGAGGAGAGCGAGAGGTACCGTGCGATGCACATGGAGCAGTACGAGGCGTTGCGGCAGCGGGAGCTGGAGGAGGCACCGCTGATCGAGCGGCTGCACCGCCCGAATTTTGCCCCGCTTAGCGAGGCGCAGATTGAGGAGGGGCTGAAGGAGCCCGGTCTCTTCCACGCCCTGTGGCAGGCGAGCCACCCGAAGAGCCCGTACCACAGGGACCTCAGGCAGCGCGAGATGGCGCGGCGGTACCTCAACGCCAGGGGCTGGGTGAAGGACATGACGCTGGACGAGATGCAGGTGGTGTTCATGAACTACCGACTCCCCGAGATTGAGCGTGGGCACCAGATGGACGAGGGAGGGATGGAGGGCCAGGTGTACTGGACGCGGGACGGTGCACAGTAGCGAACAAGGCGGCCTGCCGTGACGGATGCGCTGGCGGGGCACGTTGTGCCTGGAGCGATGTGAGGTTTGGCTCCTGCCCTTCACGCGGCGCCGTGAAGGCCGATGGTGCGGGTGCTACCGAACGTTGTTTTTTTTGCTTTTTTTGCGGTGTTTTTTGTCTTTTGGCGCATTGGACGAAAGGAGGAACTGAAGAAACAACAGCACCCGAAAAAAGTGAGAAGGACGCACTGCAGGATGCTGTGAAGGCCTTTTCTCTGACGTCAATATATATATATATATATATATATATTTGTGTATTTGTGTGTTGGGTCCTGGCAGGAACCTCTCGTCCACCGAGTGCAGTACAGTGCGCTGGCATTGGGGCGCAAGTGAAGTTTTTTTTGTCTTTTTTTTTTTTTTTTCAATTTTTTTTTTGGTTGTTGTGTGTTTATTGTCTGCAAACGTAGAAGATTTTTTTGATGTTGTGCTTGTTTCACGTGTACACGTTTTAAAAGGCATCTCCACCCGCTTTTTTCCCATTTTGTGTGTTCCTTCTCGTGCCGGCGATGGGACACACACGGCGGTGACGCCAAATCACAGAGGTGGATACGCCCGACAGGCTGAGTCACATTCCCTGCGCTGCGATGATTACATGCTACTGCCTCCACACACCGGAGAGAAAAAATCTTCCTCCTTATTCGCATTGTCTCCTTGTCTTTGACCATCGATGCCACACAAGGTGGTGGCCCTTTTATAAACGAGGGAGGGGTGAAGCGAAAACAAAAGCCAAAGAAACAAGCAAACAACAAGAAGTCATAAACAGCAAAGAAACAGGCATAGAAAAAGAAGAGAAATAGAGGGAGCGGGGAAGCGTTCATTCATCCAGCTTTTGTGAAAACAGCAGAGAAATATAAAAAAAGGGAGTCAGAAGGATGTCATTATCCCATTCAGGGTTGCCGTCCGCAGAGATTGAGCGCGTATTTGCAGTTCTACGTTTTGTTTCGCAGCAACAGGAGGCATCATTGTCATCGTTGTCGTTACCGGCTGCTGGCGGCAGCGAGGGCGATACACTCAACGCGGGCACCGTAGCGGCTCTTGCGAAGGGCAAGGCGGGAAAAAGGGTCTCCGATCCGCTCATCATCCCGGAGGATGTTCAAAACAAGTTGGAGGCGTTTCGCATGGCGGTGACGAATATTCCTGTACAGATGGAGAAGGTGCAGTCTGCCCGGGCGGCCCTGCGCACGGCACTGCGGGATGCCTACCCGAACAAGTTGGAGGATGTAGATCAACTGTGCGATTGCAATGTATTTGTTTTGAAGGCCACGGCAAAGGGCACTCCGCATTTCATGTTAAGGGACGTCTATGCCTTGCAGGCGATGCATGAAGTTGTCCCCGGGCTGTATGTTGGCTCGTATCACCCGGCGTCAGAAAGGGAATTGCTTCATCGTCACAAGGTGACTCACGTGTTGTGCTGCATCGATGTCATGCCTCGCTTCCCGTCGGAGTTCACGTACATGAAGATTTCTGCGCAGGACATGCCCGGATACAACATTGCGAAGTTTTTCCCCCAAACATTTGAGTTTATTGAGGATGCGCTGATTAAACAGCACTCCGCCGTGCTCGTACACTGCGGTGCGGGCATTTCTCGCGCCCCCACCATTGCCGCCGCGTACCTCATCAAGAAACTGCGAATGACTGCAGTGGCGGCGATTGAGCTTATTCAAAGCAGGCGTCATGTGGCATCGCCCAACCTCGGTTTCCGTCAACAACTGCGGGCTTATCAAGAAGAGCTTGGCATATACCCAGAAGGAGCAGAGGGAGCCCGGCCTCGGGCGGGGATGTCTTTGCAAATAAACAACAAAGGATAAAGAGAACCAAATGTAAAGAACGATTATGTGTGCGTGTTGCACGTTAATTGGGGTATTCTCTTTTTCCGGATCCGCTCGCTTTATTCCTTTCTCTCCTACGAGAGGGAAGGTCTCACAAATGAAACAAGAAACCGTTCTGTGTTTTCATTATTTATGACTTTTGCTACTACTTTTCTTTTTTTTTTTTTTTCTCTGTGGGTTTCTTGTGGGGGGAAAAAAAAAGAAGGGAGGGAGGGAGGAGGGAAAATAGAAGGAGAGAAGGGAAGGACGCCAAACAGCAAGGAACGCAACTGGGGGAAAATAACTCACCGCAACGGCAATGCTCGGCTCCGGCAAAAGCAGCGGTATGGTGAATGAGGCCACCAACTTGAAGGCCAACCAGAACCTGACGTCTGCGATAGCGGAGATGGGGACGAAGGAATACATGAGTAATCGCGACATGGACGATGTTGTCCCCACTCACCGCCGCCGGATGGAAGAGAAGCCGCGGGATAACGGTGTGCCTGTGTACGACCCCGTCGCCGAAAAGGAGCGGGAGAAGCAGGAGCGCGGAGCCGTGCCCCGAGACATCGTCGAACGCGATGATGACGATGATGACGCGGAACTGCTGGAGCTCCGCCGCAGACGTGTGGCGCAGATGCAGCGGCAGCAGACAAAAGAGGTGGAGTGGCGTCAAAAACAACATGGCGAGTACCGTGAGATATCACAAGATGAGTTTTTTGGCATTGTGGTGCGGGAGAAGGGCGGTAGTGATGACGTCTGCGTGCACTTTTATCACAAGGACTTTGAAACATGTCGTGTGGTGGACTACCGTCTCTCAGAGTTGGCGCGAACAGTGTTAAGCGTGAAGTTTGTAAAAATAGACGCAGAGAAGTCGCCGTTCCTCGTGGAACGACTGCGCATTAAGACACTGCCGTGCTGTGTGCTGTTCCACAACGACGTGGCGGTGGACCGGATTTACGGCTTTGACGGCTGCATGACGGAGGACGGAACACTCGACCCCGTCTTGCTACGCGACCGCATTGTGCGCGCCACTAACCCCGGACCAGAGGAGTGAATTTGCCGCCTTCCTCTTCTTGACTGTGACCCCTTGACGTGGGGAAACTGACGAAGGGGCGGAAACACACACACACACACACATAAATGCACATGGTGGCCAATTAACAAAGACAGAGGAAAAAAAAAAAAAAAAGAGCGCAGGGTAAAAAAGCGGTGATGAGCGTTCACAATCTTCTGTTTTTTTTTTCTTTTTTAAAATTTATTTATCTATCTATATTTACATACGTATGTTTTTGTGTTTGTGTGTGTGTTTATGCGGACTGAATGGAGTAATGGGCGTGGGGTATTTCTGCATGTGTTGACCTTTTTTTTTTTTTTTCTTCCACAGTTGAGGATCCAACAGCCGCTTTACATTTCGTGGATGGTAAAGGACGGCTTTGCGGAAGGACCAAAATAAGAAAAAAAAGAAAAGAAAAGAAAAAATAAAATAGAAACAAATAAAAAGGGAATCCGCTGGACGTTGAAGCCCCTAATGGCGTTCCTGTCGTGTCTTTTGCCCGTTGTGGTGATGTTTGGTTTTCTTCTTTCCAGCTACGCCTACCTCGTGGAGCGTCGCTTTGCCAGGGCGAGGGAGCTGGGCCAGGTGTATCGTGCCTACTGCGATGTCGGTGTGTTTTCTTGCACACGCGTCTTTTCTTCGGAGTATGGCTCCTTGACGCAATTCGTTGGGCTGCCGCATGTGTCCAACGCCGTGCTGGGGATGATCTTCTACCTTTTGGAGCTCGCCGCCTGTCGATTCCCGGCGCTGCTTTTGTTTATGAGCGCGGCAAGCTGCGTGGTCTCTGTGGGGCTTTTTTTAATCCTTACACTCATCCTCCACGACCTATGCATCGTATGCGGCTCCATCTACGTGGTAAACTTTGTAACTTGTCTCGGTGCATGGAAGCTGCGTAGACAGAAGATGGCACCTCCCCTACACAAGAAGAAGAAGAAGGGGTAAAGGCAAGAAGCATTGAAACGAAGGGTCAAATATAAAGTTGTTGTTGATTGATTTGATTTGGCGCACATGTCACGTTGTTATGTTGCGTGTGCAGCTGAAGGAAGAACGGAAGGTTTGCTGGCGCCGATGTCTGTTTTTGTTGGTGCGGCATGAAGAGGATGTTGGAAGTGGTGGTGTCCCATCATTATTATTATCTTTTTTTTTTTAATTCTGTGTGCTTTGGGGAATTGTGAAGAAAATGTTTGCGAGGAAGACTGGCGTTCTAAATGCTGAGTATTTTTCTGGAGAAGAAGAAAATATTTCTACACGATTCTTTTACCACCTAATGAATGTTTGGACGACTGCGATGGAGGAGGAGTCAATAAACCGATGAGGGTAAGGTAGGTGCCTTATTTTTACTTTGGCCGTCTTACCCACCCGCCCACTCTTTTTGATTTCCACCGCTTACGGCGAAGTATTGCGGCTGGAGGATGTTTAAATGCTGCCGCTTAGTAAGTAACATAAAAAACATCTCCGTTTTGGATAGTGCGCATCGTGTGTCACGACTATTGGCTGCCCGAATACATATAAGTATATATAAGTATGTATGCATGCATGGAATACACATTGAGGCTGTGATGAAGCCACTGCCTTTTTGATTGCTCCCTTCTTTTCCGCCCTATTTTATTTTATTTTAAAGCTTAGGATCCGGCCAGTAGCCCCGGCGAGTCATTCTGGTCATCCATACTGTGAAGCGATGCTGTACCGCGAGTGCTGTCGGCCTCTGCCACGCTACGCCTCAACCGGGGCGTACGGCGCGTGGATGGCGTCGTGCCGCATGTACACCTCATCACTCTCGTCGGGCAAAAATAGAGGCGTCTCCGACGGAAAACTGTTCTCACGTACGCAGTCCAGCATCCACATGTACGCGAACAAGGAGAATGCGTGGAAGGACTACACCGATGATCGTTTTTATGGTGCAAAGAGACTCAAGGATTATTGGCGTCGGATGCTGAGCGATCGCGGGGTGCGGTATTATTTATTTGGCACAATTATCATCCTGGCTGTGGCGGGCTCAAAGCTATGGCGTTTGCAAGAGCAACAGAAGAGTACATTTGGGCTTATTGGTCCCAAGAAAAAGGCTTACCGCAGTCGTTTGACGATTGTACTGGATTTGGACGAGACAATCTTATCGTATGGCGACAAGGCCTTTCGAATGAAGGCGGGTATGGTGGTTAGACCGTACTTGGCGGAGTTGCTGGATTATCTCTCTTCCATTGATGCGGAGGTGGTGCTTTGGTCGGCCTGTAGCGAGCGGTACATGCGTCAGGTACTCAATGTGATTGATCCCAGTGGGGTCCGTGTGTCGCAGTACATTGTGCGTCACCGTGACTGGTTCACGCAGGACAACTACTACGAAAAGAATATTCTCTGGCTCAAGCGCCCCTTGGAGGACACCCTTATTGTGGAAAATCGCCCGTTGAGCGTTCGTAGCTGCAACGCTAACGCCATTCTCGTAGATGACTTTATTCGCGGGGAGTATATGGACAATGGTCAGGATTATCCACCCAAAGACCACGCCATGCGCACACTCAAGGAGATCATTCAGGATTTAGAGGAGTCGGGCCGTTCTGTTCAGGAGTACCTCGCCGACGCAAAACACCGCAACAAGGACATCAAGGAGATTCCATGTCATTTGGCATTCAGACAGTTGCCAGACGAGCTGGCGCGCGGGGTCTTTTATTTTATAGGAGGGAAGTACAGACCGGGTGCGGATATGAGAGGAAGAGGATAAAATGAAGCACAATAGTTCGGGCGTTTATTTTATTTTGCGGGGGAACCATATGAGGGGACTGAGTTACGGAGCGAGCTGCGATGACTCTTGCGTGTATTCTGCTTTATGAAGCGAAGCCATGCCACTTATATGAGAATTCCAAATGACAGGAAATTCCTCTCGGTCTTGCGAGTGTCTTGTCTTTTTTTTTTTTTTGCCGCGGCTTGCATTTTTCTGCGTGCGGCGTGTTTGTGTTTTTTTGTTTTTTTTTGCTCATGCCTGAATGGGATTGTGCCCACTGTTGTATTGGAGTCCGCTTCCTTCCTCTGTCTTGGTTCTCATACACACGTATGTTCACGAGCAAACATACACACGCAGTGTGAGGGTGAAAGGCAAGAAAGGATTTTTTCTTTTTTTTTAGAACTTGTTGTTATTATTATTATTATTTTTGGGAGAGGAGGGGTTGATGGAACAAAAGGAGGGGACCGGGCGCAGTCTTGTGAAGCGGCACGCGTTTGGCATCCGGCCGGATGTGTACGGCTGCCTGAATTGGGTGGAGGAGGGGACGCTGCTTTACCCTGTGGGGAAGACCGTGGTTGTGCACAACCTTAACAGTAACACCCAGCGCTTCTTTGATGCCGGAGTCCACAGCAGTGGCCTGACGGCGCTGGCGGTGAGTGCGAACAAGAAGTTCATTGCAATTGCGGAGGGCGGTATCGCACCCCAGATTCAAATTATTGACTCCGTCCCTCGGAAACGTCGCAAGACTTTAAGTGTGCAGGATCTTGGAAGCGAGAGTTTTGTGGCGATGGCCTTCAGCGTGGATGGGCGGCACTTGGCAACGCAGGGGGGTGCGCCGCAGTGGAATCTTTTCTACTGGAATTGGGAGCGCTCCAAGCCACTCGCCCTTACGTCTGTGATTGCCGATTTGAAGGTGGAGGGAATGAATGAGTCCACGAGTCGCTTCTCACTTTTGCATGATGCGCGTACGAAGGAGCCGCACGGCGCATCGTCCGGACCTCCTCCCGTCTCATGTGTGACGATTTGCCCGCGGGATCCTTTGTTGATAGCGGTCTCCGGCCTGGGGATGATGCGTTTCTACCGCTATGTGGATGGCGTGCTGCAGACTCAGCCCCCCATCAACTACGATCTTGAAGGCGTGTCCAACTTCCTGACCCACACGTGGGTCACTGGAGACCGTGTGGTGGCATCAACGCAGACGGGTGAGTTAATGATCATTGAAGGGGGTGTATACAAAAGACTGCTGCCCGTGCCGCCCCCCACGAGAGCACAACTGACGAATCCAACGGTTCTCTCGCTTGTGCCCAGCAAAGGGGGGTTTATTGCTGGTAGTGATCAGGGCACCGTCGCTATTTACGAAAGTGCAAGCGGGTCAAGTGGCGAGTACTCCATTGTGTATACTGTGCCAGTGCCCACAGAGGAGGAGCTGCATACAAAAAAGTGTGCCCTTGAGGGAGATGACACACGGCCATCTGCAACCACTGCGTCTGGCAATCGTGCTGCCTTGGATTCGAATGCTAGCGGCTCGTCTCTTGCAGATGCGCCCGACCCCTCTTCGTTGAAGCCATGGGCAACAAAGGGCTCCAAACGCATTTTTCACGTCAACACAGGGGTGGCACAAAAGGTTACAGCCGCGCCTGCGGAGAAGACACGTCCCCAGTCTGGAATACAAGGGATGGCACGCATGGATGTGCTTCGGGAAAACAGCGTGGTGCATCTGTCACTTGATCAGTTGGAGGAGACCATGGCGTTAGTGACACACTCGGGTCAAATCCTCGCCTTTAACTTCTCTCAGCAATGGTCAAAACGCACCGCAGATGATCCCCCAGCGTTATTGCCGATTTGTCAATCGTTTCATGTTGGTGGCATTATTGGCGTTGACTGCAGTGTGCGGCGGCCATTTTTGGTGACCTCTGGTGTCGACAAGAGTGTGCGTATTTGGAACACCAGCACGCATCGATTAGAGATGTGCCAGTACTTCCCATCCCAACCGGGTCCCGTAAGCATTCATCCAAACGGCCTCTACGTGGTGATTTGCTTTACAGAAAAAGTTCTTGTTATGAGTGTTCTGTGGAACTGTCTCCACGAACATCGTGTGCTTAATCTTCGCAACGTGACCGATGTGAAGTTTTCTGTGGGAGGGAAATACTTTGCCTTGGCACATGGCAACCTGATCCATCTGTACAACGCACTCACATGCGATGTCCATGGACAGCTGCGGGGTCATCCGCAAAAGATTAGCTGTTTTCAGTGGGCCGCCACCTCCCCGTATCCCACGGACAATGGGATGGTCTCCTGCTCCCTCGACGGCATCATCATCAACTGGAACATCAGTGAGTTGCGCAAGGATGGGGAGTATGCAGATAAACGCTACCAATACCGTGTTGTTGTGGCAGATGATAAGAACATGTGGGCCGTCGGAGACCCGGCATCGTCTGCTGCGGAAACGCAATGCAAATCGATGCTGCGGGAGATGGACCGTTTCAGTTCTGTGGAGGCCTCTAGCCCCACCACCACGACGGATTACGAATTCCGTGACAGCACAATCACAACGCTCCTAGTCTCTCCAAAGCAACGACTGTTATTTGGTGGGACGGATGATGGTTCCATTAAATTTATGAATTTCCCTCTTCAGTTGGGTTTGCAGGAAGTTCCTATTGTTGCGCATATGGGCAAAGTAGCCCGAATGGTGCTCTCTTATGATGAGAGCATCATTTACTCTGTCAGCGCTGATGGGACGCTGTTTGTTATCGAAGTGCGGGAGGACGGTCGCCCTGCTCAACGGGATGCGGGATATTGCGGCGACGAGGTCCTTGTTTTGGCCTCCGACGTTGAAGATCGTCAGATCGCCATTGAGAGCCTGACGCACACAGCAGGGAAACTTAAGGCGGAGATTGAGGGAGAAGAGAAGCGACGTAGCCATGAACAAAACACGCGGATGCGGGAGCGGGCGGAGGAATTTAAGAGCGAAGTGTCTGCCCTCGAGGCGGAGTATGCCGCGTTATGGAGCGCAAAGGCGGAACAGGAGCGCTCTTTTGTTGCGGTGAGGCTTGAAAAGGAGGCCGAGGCCGCCCCGCTCCTGGAGGAGCTTGAGCGGGCAGGACAGGCGGAGGTGCAACAGCTGGAAGACGAGTGCACCGAACTGCAACACCAGCTCGACTGGAGCAAGAGCAAGTACATGCAGGAGGTGAGTGATCTCGAGGCGCAGATTGAACGGGAGCGGCGGGAAGAGGAAGAACGCTTCAACGACGTCGTCGCAAAGCGAAAGGAGGGAATGCAGAAAATTAGACGCCAAGTTCAACGTGCGAAGGAGACAAATGCGGAGTCGCGACGGCGCCTTGAACTTGACACGGACGCGGAGCTGGAGAGTATCCGGGAACGAAACCGTCAGGATCTCGAGGCCATTCGCGGGCGGTATCTTCACATGAAGGGGGAAAGTGCCATCATGCGCAAGAACGCCCTGCGCATGGAAAAGGAGGCGGAGGTGCACAGAAACGAGCTGAGTATTCTCGAGAGCGCCAAGTCGGCGTTGATGGCGCAGCTGGGGGAGTTGAATCAGCGCATGTCGCAGCTGCATCAAGACATTGAGGAGCGCGATGCCGTCATTGGTGAGAAGGAGAAGCGGATATATGACCTCAAGAAGCAAAACCAGGAGCTTGAGAAACACAAGTTTGTCCTCGACTACCGCATACGTCAGCTCAAGTCACAGATGGAGCCGCGACAGCGGGAAATTGCACGGGAGCATCAACGCATAAATGAGAAGAACGTTGAGCTAGAGAACCTTCACCAAAACAACATCACGCTGCGACAGAGCATCGAGGGGTTGAAAGCCGACCTTGCACAGCAGCAACTGCAGATAAAACAAACGATGAATCATATGAAAGACTTTGAGACTTACAAGAGCCGCGTCAAGACAGACGTGGGGGAGCTTGCACCAGCCATGCAGGACCCAGCGCTGTTGCGGGAGGTGGTGGAGCGTTTGTACCAGCGGTACGTTCTCGCACGCGATGGACGCCGTGCGGCGCAGGTGGATCAGGAGATCAAGGGGGAGTTTCGCTCGCAGCTGGAGTACCTGAGCACCTCGGTTGATGCACTGCGACGGAAGTGCAAGGCGGATCAGGAGCAGCACCGATGTAAGGTCTCGGAGATGATGGTGGAGAACCTCTCGCTCATCCGCGAGATTCATGACCTCCGCGCGGAACTGGTGGATCTGCGTAATCTCTCGGTGGCGGCAGCGGACGAAAAAAAGCGGCGCGCCCGTATGGAGGAGTTCAAGAAGCAAGCCAGCATGAGTTCCCGCCAGAATGTCTCCTGTAGTCCCACGGCCACATCGCCGACGCGTCCGGAGGTACCGCAGGAGTTGAAGGAAAACCGCGAGGAGATTCAAAGGCTGCGGGCTTTCGTGGATGCCGCGCAACAGGCGCTGGGGGCAACAGCGTCAACCCGTCGCGCAACTGGCGGCACATGCATGTTTCCACCCATCACACAGTAGAGACTGGGGGAGAGAGAAAGCCAAGAGGTGAGACACTTGTTTTTTTTTTTTTTTTTTTTGTGTTGTTGTCTGTTTTTGATGTCTTCCCGCATAATGTTGATGTATAGAGAGGAGAAGCAGGTGCAAGAAAAGATAACAAACGGGAAAAAAAATAAATAATAATGAAATAGAAAGGGAAAATGAGAGCAATAACATCACATGTATGTATGTGTCTCTGTATGTATGTATGTGTGTATGCAAGGTGACATACGCAGTAAGAGGGATCTCCTGGGTTTTTTTTTCTTTTTTTTTTTTCTCGCTTCTTATATAAAAACATCCATGCGTACATTGACGTATTGATGTATCCTTTTTCTATCTCAATTTCTCTTTTCTTTTTTTAAATGCACTTGGTTGTGTATGTGGAAGGTATAAAGAAAAAAAGGACTATTTTTTTCTTTTGGTTGTTTAGTGGTCTCTTTTTTTTTTTTTTTTTTGCTTTTGTTTCCCGTTTAGGCAAGTGTTGCACGCAGAGGATGTTTTACGGGTCGATTCCCCTGCGTATCGCATTCCCTGTGCACAGGGACACCACGAAAGTGCCGCGCATGCTGAAGGAAGTTGGCACATGGCTGTACCGACAGGAGACCGTCGATGCCTTTCGTGTGTGGTGCAAGGCGAATGGCGTGCGGGGGCACAATAACGTGAAGGTGGTGTCCTCCATGCACTACGCGCGGTGTTTGCGGGCCGCGAGGCACATTCGCCCCGGTCAGGCGATCATTACATGCCCCCACACCGCCTGCTTCAACTTTCTTGTTGTAGCCAAGGAGATGTACAATCTCAATGGTGCCGCAGCCACACACAACTTTCCGTTGGAGGTGAACTGGATGAATTATGACGAGCGCTGCAAGTTTCTGCGTGGGGCCTCCATGGCGGAATTGGTCACCGCGGGGTGGATGTGCCGCATCGCCTCGCTGGAGGAGAGCAGCTTCACACCTTACATCCGATGGCTGTTGGAGGACACACGGGGGCGTGACGGTGTCGCAAACGGCATGTCGAAGGAGCGCGGTGAGGACAGCGGGTTGGTTGACCACTACTTCTCTGAAATGGCAACCGACGCGTGCGAAGATCCGGAGGTGTTCCTGGAGAACCTTTTCCGCAGCTTTGCCGCGCTGCACCTCCGCGCCGTTCCCATTGAGTCTGCGGCAATTTGCCTTTTTATTCCCGGCACAAACTTCTTCAAGGCGAAGTCAGATGAAATGTTTGTGCCCACTCTTATCCCACTTGTAGATGCCGTGCCACAGTTGGAAGATGATGCACACAACACAGTAGTGCAGTACTTTCCACACGACAGGAGCGACAAGGAGTCGTTGGCGCGGCGGTGTCGGGAGCTTTTTCTCCCTGAAGAGGAGATGCGGGCGATGGAGGCGCGACTTTCCCAGGGGGATGGTGACAGCGGTTTCTTTGCGTTGCGTGCATTGTGTCCAATCGAGGAGGGCGATCATTTGTACCTGCGAGGTGTGCCGAAGTTGGGTGACGCAGCAAAGGAGTCGATGACGGTGAAAGTCATGGAGGCCAACCGACTCATGAGTAATGACTGATTGGCTCCATTTATTATTGAATCAATCATGAAGTAGTTTTATTATTTTTAATTACTCCATTGTCTTGTCTGTTCGTCACGGTGGAGAAATGGAAAGGAGTTGCACTGTACACTTACCGATTTAAAACCAATTTCTTTTTTTTCTTTCCCCCCCCCCCCCCCCTTTTTTTTTTCTCTATGTGTCTGCATGTAGTCACGAAGAATACAACAAAAGAAGGCGTAGGGACGTCAAATTTAAGGAAGTTCCATCCAAATACACACTCACACGGATCATGTCGACGTGGGTGAAGTATCAGTCAAATATTTATCGATATGGCCTTGTCTTCTGTTGTCTTTCGGCAGCCTTGGGGATGCTGGTGAACGGTGATGGCGCAAAGGCACAGTGGGATTGGATGACAGATCGCTATGAGCGAATAAATGCGGGAAAAAAAGTGAAATAACATATGAGTGCGAGCGTGCGTGCGTGAAGATGATTCTCCCTGTCTGTTTGTGTTTTCCCTCTTTTCGCATATTAACTGTACGGTATGTGCAGCCGTGGCTTCTGCCGCATTTTGGCGGAACTCGAATCTATTGTTTACTCCTGCCGATATATATATGTTTGCCTTCTGTTTATTTATTTATTTTTTTCACGGAGGTCATTGGGCCGACTAGCCAACCAACCAAACTCCACACCGTCGTCAGTGGACGACGGGCAGGGAGCACGAGACAAGGCAGAAAACAAGGGCAGGAAGAAAAATAAAAGTCTGTCATTTGTGCAGAGTGAAGTCGTGGACATTAAGGGAAGCGCGTTGCTGCTCTGGGCCCGCATCTAGGCGTGTCAATGTCCGCCGATCTTCTTCACTTTTCCGAAACGAGCCCGAGGCATCACTTTGAAAGCGCGACTGCGCTACGAAACGCGGTGCTATCCAAGGGGGATGAATACAGCGAATATGAGCGGTCCATCCTTGAGGAGATCAACGAGTTGCGTAGGGACCCTGTCGCGTATTCCTTTGTTGTGGAGTCGGAGGCGACGGTGGGGTATCCGTTTGTGCGGGATGATCCTGAGCCAGCGGAGTGCACGGAGATGACGCTGGAGCAGCTCCGGGTGTATATTGAGGACTTTCGGCGGGAACGAAGGGAGGTGAGGGATTTTTTGCAGCATTTACAGAAGGAGTGGGCCGATGCAGAGTCGGCCATGAAGGAGCGGTGGTCCGCGGAGGATGTGGAGCGCTCTAAAAAGTCCAAAAGAGGCAGTGCAACTGTTCGCAAACAACGGGTGCTCGTGCACAAGGAAGAAGACTATGCTGGGGAGCGTCAAAGGGCCGCACAGGAACTTACTGACCACTACACACAACAGGCGAGGGAGGCCAACTCAAAACTGACACAAATAGAGCGTTCGTGTAGGTGGGCTGTGGACGGGGCAAATTTAATTATAAAGTGTGCACATGAGTTGCGAGAGGCAAATGCGGTGCCGGAGTTGGAGTACAGCCGCAGTTTGACTCTTGCCGCGCGAGATGTCGGTAAAGAGTGTCACGGTGCACCTGCCATTGGGATGCAATCACCACAGGCCTCGTTGTTCTCCCCATTATTACCGCTTTCGAGCACGACGGGCGATGAGGACAGAATACGATTCACGCAGCCTCCGAGCACAGCGAGCACCCGGCAAGGCTCATCCGTCTTACGTTCGTCTATGGTTCCGAGTTCGCCTGCAGAAGAGAATCGTCACGCCGCTCTTCCGCCCAAGAACAGCATCCGGCATGACGCGGGCAGCGTCGTGGATGCTCTGTTTACGAGAAGAGAAGAAAATAGCGAGCGGGCACCAACACCACTGCTAAAAGTAGGCACGAATTCTTTACAGAACGAACCACCGCATGGTTTCCATTCGCATGACTTTTCTAGCGAATGTGATTACCTTGCGAAGCTGGCAATGAAGGCGTGCGGGAAGTATGGGTATTACTCTGCGGCTATTCGTGGGGTGCGAATCTGTGGTGCCTTTTCCCCGCGCAAGATGTTGATTCAAATGCTTCTTGGGACTCGTGTGCCGCAGTTTACGGTTCCGACTCCAACGGCCCCAAGCGACTCATGCGAGCCCTTCACTTCCTCTCAGACGAAACAGACGAAGGCTACTCCGCTTCTCTGGGCCAATGGCCGCCTTCTGGGCATTGGCTGGGTCCGAGCCATAAACGGTACTGTGAGCGTCACAGTCCTTGTCGCCACCAGCTTCGAGGAGCTGAGTCTCATTCATGAGCGCCGTGATTTCACCCTCCCGCAACTCCATCGCATCCTTAACACTTCTTGTTCCGCTTATACGAGAACCGAACAAATTCGACCGGCCGTTATGCACATTCAGTCTTTACTGGGTGTGCAAGTGGTGGAACCCGTGGCGCATCCCATATTGGTGGATAAGGAGCAGCGTGTGGCGCGTTTGCTTGTTCGAGCGGACCCAAATTGTGTTGAGGTCACAGCGACGGTGAGTTGCGTGTCGGAGGCGATTCCATCCATCCCACTGCTGGACCGCGAATTGCTACTGGTACAACGCAGCCGAGACGATATTGAGAAGGTGGAGATCCTTCTTGACACGCAGGCGGCATGGCACCGTTGGTCAGGCCACCCCCTTCTTGTGCATATGTTTGAGAGAGATAAGACTGCCCGTGGTGTAAAGTCATTCAAAAACATTGGCTTTGTCCGTGTGATTCCCCTGCAGCGTGGTGACGGTCGGTTTATGGACTCCAGGCAATTCACATCCCCGTCGTCTAAAAGGGAGAAAGACACTGCCGTAGTTGGAGTCCCACCGCTTTTAGTGCACAAGCGATATGTAGGACCGATGGAAGGGCAGGCGGAGTCCTGTGGTTGGCCACTCGTCACGGTGAACTTTCAGGAGCTCTGCGCCACCCTCATTGAACCACTTCGGGGAAAATGGATTGCCTGTGGAGAAATGCAGCATGTTGCAATACAAATTCCAAAAGTTGCATATTTAGACAAAAGCATAAAAAATGTTCGTGTCCTGCTGGAGAAGGAGCAGGCGTTTTTTGAGTGGGAGGCGACAAGTGGGAGTCAAGAGCGGATGAATGAGGTGATTACATCAAAGATGGCCACACTGAAGGTTGCTGAGAATGAGCTCCAGGAGAAGGAGGGACCCATGCAGCAGGAACTAGCGCAGCTTCAAAAGAACATGGTGAAAAAGCGCGGTAAAGAAATGGCCAAACTGAAGCGACAGGAGGAGGAGCTGCGGCAGCGCATGGATGACATGAAAAAAAACGTTGAGGAACTGCGCCAGTCCCTTTCAAATGCACAGGAGGACTTGGTGCAACTGGGGCGTGAGTACGCCCTTCGCGTTAAGCGCCAGCGGAATCTGAGAAAAGAGTACGAGCGACTACGCGACCGTGCCGACCGTACGAAGCCACTCATCGTGGAGGTTGTTCTTGTCACGGATGAAACGACGCGGAGCACTGTGGCGGAGAATACCCGACTGCAGCCGACCAACAACGCCTGCACACTGTACGAGGGAGATGTGCGGTTGACACTTGGATTCAAGGGGTGCGCTTTACTCCTTGTGAATGAACAGGAGGTGGTGCGATGGGAGGTGCGGCCAGGGTAAATAAACCAGGAGAATCCCAAGCAAACGAAATATATATATCCCCATTCCCTTATATATATATATATATATATATATATATATATATATATATATCCCTACATGCATATGTCCCCATAAATACACACACGGGGAGAGGGAGAGAGAGGGAGGAGGGGAGATATCTGTGGGTTTCTCACTTTCCTTTGTGTGAGTGTATGCGTCTTTTGTTTTGACATGTATTATCCGAGTTCTTGGCGGAAAATGTACAGGCAGACATTCTGCAGGAAAGGAATTGGCAGGGCGGGGGTAAGGAGGGGTCGAATATCGAGAAGAAACACGGAAGGGCACACAAGAGAAGTAAACGGACGAAAAAAAAAACCACCACAAGAAAAAAAAAGGAAAAGGAGAAAAAAGTAAGAAGGGTGGCGTGTGTGTTTACGAAGGGATGTGGGGAAGTAATTCACGCCTCCCTCTCTATTATTATTTTTTCTTCTTGTGTTGCCTTCCTCTTGCGATTGCCACCTGTTGGCACTGTTGTTGTGTGTATTTCAGGGCGATGTACTCCCCTCCGCTCTGCACTCCTTCTTTTTTTCTTTCACCTCCATCCCTGGGGGTGGGCAACAGCGCAGAGGCGAGGAAGCGGAACGGCCTTCTCTTTATTTTATGCGGCGTTGCAGCGAAACGAGAATGTCATGTGCTTTTTTTTTTCTTCTTTTTTCTCTTTCTCTTCTTTTTTTTTTTTTTTTTTTTTCTTTTCGGAGTTGATTGTTGGGCTTACCAGGGCGTTGTTGCTGCCGTCGTCGCCGTCTTTCTCCCTGTCTCTCTCTGTGCTGCTGCTGCTGCTTGATTGTCATAGCCCACACCATTGGTGCCGACGACGAGACACGGGCGCAAACTCATGAGCCACAAGTACATCTTCAAGTACATTATTATCGGTGACATGGGGGTTGGGAAGAGTTGCCTCATGCAGCGCTTCACGGAGCAGCGCTTCCGCAACGACCTCCCGCACACCATCGGCGTGGAGTTTGGCACGATTACGGTAGACATCAATGGCGAGACTGTGAAGTTGCAGATTTGGGACACAGCCGGACAGGAGCGGTTTCGCTCCGTCACTCGCGGGTATTACCGCGGGGCGGCTGGGGCGCTACTTGTGTATGATGTTTCACGGCGAGAGACATTCTCTCGCATAGGGACGTGGCTGCAAGACGCGCGGGGAAACACGAACCCGCACACAGTAATGATGCTCGTGGGCAACAAGTCGGACCTTGACGAGAGTCGCGAGGTATCATACGAGGAGGCGGTAAAGTTTGCGGATGAAAACAATCTGCTCTTTGTGGAGTGCAGTGCGCTGAATGGCGATAATGTGGAGCAGGCATTTCTCTCGACTGCACACAAGATACACGAGAAGGTGATGTGTGGCATCCTGAATCCTGGCGACCCCGAAAGTGGTGTGCAGCTGCATAATGCGACGCTCCCGAATGCGGGCGATTCAACGAAGAGGGAGAGAAAAGGGGACAATACATGCCATTGCTAGGAAAAGGAGATGACAGAATAGGAGTGGGGGTCTTTCAGCACAACACACACACACACGAAAAACAACAACCAACAACCAAGACGGGTAAAGAAAAGAAAAAAAGAGAGAAAAAAAAGCAAAGATAATTAGGCCGAGGGCTGAGAAATGAAAGAAAGCTCTTAGCAACGAAAACGAAGGGCATCCTTGAGACTGCATTAAATGCGTACCTGTAGTTGGGAAGGAGAGAGAGAAAAAGGGGGTACATATATATAATACATATATATGCTTGTAGATGCTTTGCTCCATTGTGTTTCTTAGTGTTTTGCTGGTGTGAGACAATGGCGCTGTTGGTAATAAGTGCTTCTTTTGTAGGCACTGCTGCTTCTGCTGCTGCTCTTAGGTGGTAGTAGTATTGGTGGAGGAGTTGCGGTATTTCTCTCTCCCTTTTTATTTTTTTATTTTTATTTTTTAAATTTTTCTTCCTCTCTTTCTGTGAGTATCGAAACTCTTGTGGCGCCGAGTAATGAAGGGGGGCCAGAGGAAGGCAAACGGTGCATGCGCAAAAGGGCCAAATGGTAATGTGGGTTCATGCAAGCGTACATCCAATGACGGACTGAGGCTCAATGCCCGCACATGCATTACATACATACATATACATTCGTATTGGTGTCTACATTAGACACGTATCGACTCACACACAAAATTGTGAACCTCACTTTATATCTTGTTAATTTTTATTCTATATATATATATATATATTTGGGATTTTCGCTCCTGTTTTTTTTTTTCTCTTTTTGGCTGTTAACGTACCTGCCAGAAACATCTGTGTAGGGTAAAAGAGAGAGGTGCGGGTGAAGGAAAGGAGTGAGAGTTCAAAAGTACCTCCGTTCAGTCTCCTCGCTGCGAGAGAGGGAGAGAGAGAGAGAGAGGCGGGGAGAGCGATACGCAGGAGGGCACACATTTTAAAAGGAAGCCTCCTCCCTGCGAGGGGAGGTGAAGCATAAATAAAATAAATAAATATAAATTATAATTTATATTTATATTAAGGGATGAAGACACGAGTGCCGCGACTTTTATTGGAGGAGTCGCTCTTTGACGATCGTTCTCATCTCATCAGCATTCATAATGCCGCTCCCGAGGAAAACAGCCTTCGCGCCATGCAGCCGACGCACATGAATGCGGCCATGATGGGCGAAAAGTCCGAACGAACGGAGAAGTTGGCGGAGTTCTTTGCGCTTTCCCGCTCCCAGCAGGCTGCGGAGTTGGCCAACGCTCTCCTCCGCCAGTTTGCTTTCCGCACGTACAAAACATCGACCCCCGACATCGTCCCCGCATTCAACAACGCGTTTCCGCGAACGGCACACTCTCTGACCCGCAAGTCCCTTGTTCTCGCACTGTTGGATGAAATGGGCCTCACGGAGGAGCGCGTGGCGTCCGCGGAGGATGCGGAGACGGAGCATTTTTCCTCCACATGCAACCCGTCCCGCCGCATGACGAGTGTTGAAAACAGCACGGTGTCCGAGTGGGAGCGCGAGGATACCGTGCTGGAGCGGCTACTACGACACGTCCTGCGGCAGTTCCACGCGCAGCATCCGTGCTGGTGCCAATCCGTTAACCCCGACTCCTCCACAACCACGAGCAGCAGCACTGGCAGAAACCGCAACAGCCGGACGGTGTACCTTCGCGAGTGGAGGAAGGACCGGAAGAACTGTGACTTCGTCTCCAATGGGTTAGACTCCATGGCCCATGTGGCATCGCCGGTGGAGGAGAAAGAGCTAGACGCCAGCGCCCTCCGCAGGTTTTTTAGGGACCATCCTACAGAGGATGAACAAGTATTTGTTGTCGCCAACGAACTCCTTCAGCAGCATATACGCACCCCACACCGAGTGCCGATGGAAACACCCCTTTCAGGAGACGTGGTGAGTGAGAGGGAGTTCAGCAGCAGCAGTGAATGTGTGACGCAGCCAAATATGAGTCGTGTCGACAGCCTGAATGGTTCCATCTGCGAAAACCGGAAAGAAGATGGGGTGAAACTACCACGGGAGCGTCTCGTTCTCATCGAGTTGCTCAAGAGTGTGCATGAGGCATCTATCTCCTCGCGGGTGCTGCCGGCAATATTTGAAAAGACCGTTGCCTGGTCATCATCCAATGCGATGCGTGAACGTACTCTGGACACGACGGTCAGTAATCCGACATCCACGTATTCCTCGGGCACGTCATTGGAGGCTTTATCTCGTCAAATCGGAAGTAACACCACATCAGGGGGTGAAATTCAAGACGCTCAGGAATTTTGTGGAAGGGAAAAACGACGGCGACTCCCGAGTCTCCTTTCTCTTTACCTGCAGAGCCACCTCCAGGAGAAGTCACCGTCGATGGAAAATGTGAACAAGCGGATGCTAAGAATGAGGCGGGATAGCCCAAAGTTAACCAGTGCATCGGTGAGTTTTCGTGAGAGTCCAAGCGCCTGTGTCTTCTCACCTGTTATGAGCTCGGATGCACACTGCAACATAGGTTCTGTGACGCATTACAAATTCTCCTCGCCATCTAATATTGTCTCTGTACGATCAATGGAGGGCATGACACGGATTGGACGTGGGTCGAGTGGAGAGTTGTTTGCCATGCGACGCGTGGACACAGGGGAGCTTGTGGCGGTGAAGCGTATTTACATTACGGATCTCTCAAGAGAGTTTGTGGAGAATGAGCTTTCCGTGCTGAGGCGCAGTATTGGACTCAGCGATGATGCTGGAGGCGGCGTAAACGGCAACAAGTCAGACGGGGCGGAATCTGTAAAACCGCCCACTTCGCGGGAAACATGCGACACCGATAAGGATGATGACGGCAACAGTGAAGCAAATGATTGCCGTGCTGTCATACGTTGCTACGATGCTTTTTTTGATGGTGGTTCTGCATTTATTGTAATGGAGCTTATGGACAGTGGAAGCCTTATGGATGCGCTAAATGCGCGATTTGGTCGTCCCTTCAGTGAGGAGGAATGTCGTGCGATTGCATTTCAAGTGTTGCATGGCCTACGATACCTGCACGAAACCATACGCCAACTCCATCGCGATTTGAAGCCACACAACGTTCTTCTTGACAAGCAAAAAGGTGCGGTGAAGCTTACAGACTTTGGCCTTTGCTCTGAACAGCTGCAAAGCATGGGGTTTAATCAATGCGGCACGTACGTTGGCACCTTGGCATACATGTCCCCCAATCGAGTGGATCCGGCTTCTGTCTATGGTAAGGAGAGTGACTTCTGGAGCCTCGGCATCACGTTGATTCAGTTGGCACTAGGGAAATTGCCATTTTTTCCAAACGTCTTTGTCATTGCCGGCTTTGCTACGCATCCACCACGTCTCACTACCGCATTCATGAGTGGCGAGGGAAAGGACGGTACCCGTGGCGAGAAGGATGAGGATTCCATTTCCTCTTTGACCCCATTTTCCGAGGCGTTTGAGGACTTTATTGCCGTCCTGTTGCCCACTTCCCGTGAGAGAAATCATGTCATTCCCCTGGTGCCTGCAGAGGAGGAGAATAATGATTCAACACAGTCATGCGCATACGCTTTTTCTGAGCACTGCGGCGATGCCTCGTCATACTCCCCTGCTGATGTCGAGTACGGTGCGGATGAGGGGGATGAGACGACGGAGAATTTTGGAGGCGGCGTTGGTCACTGCTCCATTGCGCCGTTTACAAGATGGATTTTGAGTCGGAGCTCAACGCCGGATTCTCACACGGACGCCATGCAGGAATTGCCCCCACCAGCGTTGCCAGAGCCACGGGGAATGCCGCAGGTGAAGGGCAGCGGGAACGACAACGCGAACGCCATCCGACAGGATGATGCGGCGACAGAGGAGGGGCATTTGACGGGGGAGTTGACATCCACCGCGCTGCTGCAGCATCCGTGGCTGCGGGGAATGACGTGGGAGAAGAGCAGGGCGATCATCGCTGCGGTGTCGCTGGAGCCGTAAGCCATTTCACACTTATTGGAGGGAGGAGCCTTTTGACTATCCCCGGTGCCGCACACTCACGTTATTTGTGGGGGAGGAGGAATGCAAACTCCCCTTCCCACCATTTCCCCGTTTTGCGGCAGAGAGGGCGGACAAAAAGAAGAAAAAAAAACAACAACAACCAAACTTTAGGAATTTGGGTGGCAGAGAGAACGACGAGGCACTGCGAGGGAAAAAAAGAAAAAGAAAAAAAGAAAGAAAGGGAGATGCGGTGAAAGAAATAAATAACAACAACAAAAAAGAGAAGGACACCTGCCAGAAAGGAAACTGAAAAAAAAAAAAAAAACCAAAGAGAAAACAAACACCGAGGGACAACTGGGGGGATTGGCGCGGTGCCCTGTTGTTGTCCAATGTAGTATGGCAGGAATGTCTCCTTTTGTGTGGTTTTTCCCCTTCCCCCTCACCACCCCACACATGACATAACTATACCTATATCTATATATATATGTGCATGCATGCATGCAGGCAACTTAATGGGGCAGTAGCGACGGAGTGGAGGGTGAAATGAATGGAAGTTGCCTCCCTTTTTTTTTTTTTTTTGTTAAAAGAGAAGAAAAAAATAAACAAAAACAAAAACAACAACAACAAAAAACGGGCAAAATTGCCTTTAGAAAGAAATCAGAAAGAAATGCAAAGAGATCCCATGAAAACAATGAGTAAAAAAAAATGACTTCCATTCACACACCTTCACGCCCTTACACGCATACATGCATAAATGCTCAGAGCTGAATCGACCGCAGCCAACAACAACAACAAACAAACAAACAAACAAAAGGAACGAACAAACGAAAGGGCCATAAAAAAAAAAAAAAAAAAAAAGAAAAAAAAGGAATTGGAAGCGGGGGGAGGCGGCATTTATTCTGTAGTACATTATACACTTATATTTATCTTTTTTTTTTTTTTTCTCCCATTTCACATATATATATATATATGTACCGGCGCTGTTGCTATAATTGATTTTATCCGTTTATTATTATTTATCAATGTGACTTTCGTTTTTTTTTTTTTTTTTTTTTTGATCCCATTGTTCCCTTTCCCCTTCTTTTGTTTGTTTTTTGCTTGTTTGTGTTTGCGCCTTCATTTGTTGCTGGTCGTCGTTGTTGTCAGCCGGGGCGGGTGGGAGCCGCTCACGCTGGCGACAAAATCCTTTCAATTTTGTCGTGACGCCACCAGCCCGATTCCCATGACACGAGGACGCACGCGCAGACACACAGCCACGCCCTGGCGATGGGGGAGGGGCGGTGAAAAGGCGCGGATGTGCGGTTGATGAGTCATCAGAAGTTTCTTTTTTTTTTGTGCGTTGGGCGATGTGGCTGCGTGGCGGCCTGTTTGTGTTGGGTGGACGGGGGGGGGGGGGGGCAGTGGAGGAGGGCCTCAACGGTGCAGGCGATTGTTGCCACGAGGCGGAGGGGAGAAGTGAATGGACGGCAGCTGTTCTCTTTTTTTTTTTTGAGTGTTTTTTTTGTGTTTGTTTTGTCTGTTTTTGAGAGCAAAAAGAAAGAAGAAATATTCGAGCAACAGCCGCAGGGAAATTGAAGGAAACCGCCACCGAAATGTATGGACGTGGCCATGCTTCCTCTTATCATCATTATTATCATTTACCATCTTTTTATTTTTCTTCTTATTAATATTATTACTGATGCCATGCGTGATTACTGATATATATATGGTTTTGATGATTGCCGCCAGTGCCATTTTTTATTCATTGTTTTTTTTTTCTTTTTTTTTGTGTTTTGTTTGTTTATTACCAACCATTTACTTATGA